TAATAATGATTATCAGCAAACTGTACTGGCAGTCAGGCTGGCAGGGTGAGTATTCTAGTGGTATAGAATGGTTGAAATAATTACACTTCCACGCCAAGTCACTATATTTAAGTTATCTTTTTATTATTTTCGTTTAACGATGACGTCAGTACCTCCAGTTGTCCAAGAAACAACTATAGACAAAACTAACGTTGTCACACGATCATACAAGATGCAATAATCAGTATTTTTTCAGGGCCGACCTGAATGTGATCCACGCCCTCTTTTGACTTTTATGTACGAACTAAATGACTTCTTTTGAGTCGATCTTGACAGTTTCAAAATACTGCTGATATAAAGATCAGATTAGAAACTGCTAAGCGCCTTAAATATCTGTGGGTTTTTTATCTTCACTTAGGAGACAGGGCGGCAGGAGTCCTATGTACCCGGCTGGAAGGGACTCTTCCATGGTAAGCGTCTTTTGATGTATTTCAGCTGGTTACGTTGTATTTTGTAGCTTCATTAAAGAGCGAAATGATGAAACTTTTACTCGTCCAACTACAGTTTAAACCAAACTAGAGTTAAGTGATAAGATACATATAATAGCGATTGGCTTTGTTGAAGACTGCATGCTGTTTAAACGTCTTGTTTCTGTTACTGCTTTCGGATGCCTCCGCTGTATGTACAAGGGTCTATGTTGCTGAAAATGCTAAGTAACTTTTATTTTCACAACTGCCTTCATTGTCTAATTGCCGTAGTAATTTCTTTGGTCGTTGCCTAGGAAACTCCGCCATCAAGTTCGTATCCATTTCATGGCTTTCCAGATATGTCATTGTACCCAGGTTCCCCTGCCTCCCCGCCCTCGCCCCAGTCTGTCGCCAGCTCTACCGTTCTGGATGGAACAGAACTCGGTTTAGGTAACCAGGAAATTGTCGGGGACTACGGACAGTTGGCGCCTGAGCTGGCATTGAGCAATGTGTTCCTGAGCGGCCTTCAGACTGGTGGACCTTCTAGTTATATGGCGGCCATGGCAGCCGCGATGGGTGAGGATTTTGCTGATCTCTCAATTTTCAATGACATTAATCCTGCGCAGCCGCAGTAGGGGCTAGTTACGAACCTTGGAGACAGTCGAGGGAAGGATTCGTGAAAAATTGACGTATGTTGAAATCGTACAGGATGGGTCCACTCTTGTAGTCCAGGGGGATGGAATATAAAGGTTTTCGTATCCTTGCTCAGAAGACCCACCCTGAAACAAAATGAGAGAAGTGAACGTAATTCTCTTCAGAATCGAAGCTCTTTTCCCAGGCTTAAGAGGGACCAAAAGTTTTGTCTTTCATTACGTCAATTTTCTGACAGTTCAGTTTTAATCGGGAGTTAGTCGGTGCAGGATTTAACCTGTGTTGACAATTTAGCTAAATGTAGATGTGGTAAACAGTTTCAGTTTTTCAAAGCACTATGCTCTTGATCCATATGCATTGTCTTAGTTTGTCCCAGCAGGTGGGGCACTATAAAGCATATGCTAAAACCTGGCACTCGCCGGAGTTAACCTCAGGGAATAGTTAAGAGGGCTGAACTGTCATCCATTTGGCCAAACTCGAGAATCGTACTTAAGATACGTATTTTTTGTCGATGCCGATCAAACAAAACTGAAGTAGGTAAAAGGCATGGCACGCACGACTCACAAAATCTCTTTTCTTTGCGTAGAGTGTTGTATTGTATTATTCAAAGAAGCCGCTCACTGTGTGGTTTGTTCTTCGTACTGGAAAAATTGCCACAATGTGCTCTAAAAGTGTCCATGGCCTTTGGGTATTTATTGAACGTTATTGCGGGCTTTATTTTACGCCGTTATTTGTTTTAATTTTTATATACCGCCTTGTTTTTTTTTAAGGATTACAATGAATGTGAGATAAAACGGTCGTAATGTTTTCTGATTTTTAGACGGTTGTCCGGGCTGAAACTAAGGAATAGAAATACTTTTTATGACAAAAAGGTTTTAAATTATTTGCACTTTTAACCGTCAACTGTTTATTTGCATATTATGTGGTGTGCTGGATTTAATTCCTCTTGTAGCCAAAATAACTGTTTGTCACTTAACTGAAGTCCTTCGTAATCATAGGAGATTGACACGTTCATTTCGCCACAGAATATATTATAGGTATACAATATTGAACAAATAATAAGGCATTTACATTAGCCACCTTTATCTTTTCAAGATTAAGTGGTAAGGTAACTTAATATATTGGTAAGACGTAAAGGAATTATTAGTTATCGGAGTAGATAAATTTTAAGCCGATCCGCAGCAAAGTGCATTGCCGTTCTCCAAGGTTCGTAAACTATACCTTAACTCTTGCATAATATGTCAGTTCGGTGTGTGTAGATGTTAATTCCTATTTTGGGACTTTTACTACACGCAAGTTATATGGTTATTTTGATTTTATGGTTTTGTTATCTTCTATGTTTCACGATGGATTAACTTACGTTACTAAACTGGCGGAATTCTTTAGGGTGTAGTACAGTAGTAGTTGAAATCTATGGTTTTACGACTTTTATTTTGTTTAGAGGGGAAAAACAGCTCTGAGTTTAAACTTTATTGAACTGTTAGCATGAACGAGTGGTGCTGGCCATACTCATAATATGGCCAAGCCTGTAAAAAATTTTCCTCTTAAAGTGATTGACAGACGTTAAGCTGAAACTTTGCCTTGAAGAACAAAGGTTCAAACGTTTCTTCTGAAACGTTTTTTGTATTTAAGTGGTTGTCACTGCTAAGAGAATTCACAGTAATCTCCTTTTGTAATCTGTTTAAATGACCCATGGAGAATGCTCATTGCTTTAGGTGTTTAGAATTTATGTAATATTGAAAATTCTAGAGGATCGTAGTATTTGTAAACAAAGTCAGCAGTCAACTATTAAATATTAAAATTTGAATTTTAGTTGTAGTACTCTCTCGAGGGAAAAAAACAAATGCATGCAATTGGGAAAGGCTTAAACCAAAGGCAAAATTTGACAGCGAAAGTGATCTGCCTGAGTGAGTTTTTGCTGATGCATTAATGATGTTGTTTCTGCCTCTTTTACCTGCGGAACTTGATGTTCGTGCAAAACGTGTTTCCAAACTGACCTCTCAAGTACAGTTCCGCATTTGAAAGATTTTACAGGTACAATTTTAAGTCAATGCTTATTTTGTGGGAACTTTTGTGGGAAAAATTCTGCAAGAATGGGGAGTGGGAACAGGAAATTAAAATTATTACGTGTGGAATCTATTTATTTCCAGCGGTGATTATAGATTTTCACGCTTTATGTAGTTTTCTGGGGCAAATTTAAAGGAAAGAGATAAATTGGTGATAATGGGAAAAGTTACCTTTCCTTGTTTCATCTCACTGCCTGAAGCTAACGTCTTAAGTTTCATTAAAATAGATTTTACGCTGGGGACAAGACCGAAACACCAAGAGTATCACAAGAAGTTGAAGGGGAAGAAACTCATGCGGCCGATTCACCAAAGCTCATGAAATAGCTACATCGGGGGCTACCAATATTTATACAGTTTATCACTTGAAATTATGATTTTTTTTTTCGGCACCTGAGAGTTATTGTCATTCGTACATGACCACTACGGTGTAAAACTACAGCAAGTTCCGTAACAGGTGCGGTCATGTTTTATTGAAACCTATGTATAGCGCAAAAGACATAGTGATCTTCCTGAAAGAGGACAAGCAAGGAAAACCAGTTGAATTCATGCAACATGGCACTTAGTCAAAGACTAGCGTGATCTAACATATGCTACCGCTCTTACAGCATTATCCTCATGTACGTTATGCATACCTATTTATACCCTTGTCATAATATCCCTGATGTAAAACTCAGGACCCCCGGAAGGCACCCCAAACTTTGTTCCGTAATTTTCTTCCTCGTTGCTGCACTATTGCAACAGAAAACTCGTCGTTGTCTGTTGGAAATAGAAAAGGCGAATTTCGGGGTTAACTCCATGGGGAACATTACAATTTGACATGTCTTCGAAAATAAATTCTTTGTTAGTATTGATAGTTTGCCTATCCGTGAACGAAGAAAACAATTGGGATATGATATCCCCACATGTTTTTCCATGCTGGTATGAATTGTTCGCGTTGTCGTGTGGTCGATATTTCGGACCACCTCCTGCTGTCTTTTTTATGATGACTAGTACATGAACTACTTTGTGGCAGTTGTTTGACTGTGCAATGTGAGTCATCACAGTGGTCTGCAAGGACATGGCTATCAGATAGTGTGCTCCTGAGGTCCCCTGAACTAATTCCAAGGGAGTGGATTGGGCCACAAAGCCGTAGCGTGGGTGTGTGTTTCTGTGGTTTTCCTGAGTAGCACTGGGTTATTTTTTTAACTTAGCTAAGTTTCTATTCGAATTTTACGCAGGTAGGAGTTTACTCTTTTTGGGAGCGCTTTTTGTTCTAACCATTGTAGCTTAATGTAAAGGATGTCAATTTAGTCCATTGTCTGTTTGGTCATTGTCAGCAGGAGGCCGCTGCTTACAACAGTCGGAGAGGTGAAGGAAGTTTTAGATTATTGTAACTATAGGAACCAAGTCCAACTATTCATACCGCTAATCTGACTCGCAGTTCTTAATTCATCCGCGTTAGGTGTGAGCAAGAGGAACAGCTTATCGGTTCGAACATTTACAGTAACAGAATCTACCATAGTTCCTTCCAGCAAACTCAGATTCTTTGCCCACATTTCGGTACCATTCTTTCATCGAAAAGATAACGATAGGAGATTACATGGTTTTTAAGACTTCTGGGGCGAGTAATAGTTAACACGCTGTACCCTGACTTGCGTTCTCGTGCTATTCTTGCGTTATTACATGTTTCCCCGTGTAGGATTACAATGTATTCAAAATGCAAAACATGTCAACTAATCAATATCTATCAAAATGAAAGCTCTAAAACGATTATGGTCGTTTTGTTCGAGACTACACCAAGAGTAAAGCTTGTTCATGGAAAATTTTCAGTACAGTTTACTGCTTTCTATTACGCTAGTGTTAATTCAATCTAAGCTTATTTCATTTTGGATCAGATGCTTTGTGATAATGTAGTAAAAGATATTCATCTTGGTACAGTTGAACAAACTCAGCTCAGAGAACTGCAAAATAAAATGTTCAGTAAAGATCGTCATAATCTGGTTCTAGTTTTTCATTTTTATAGGCTTCATCTTCTACTGGACTATACTCTGATTGTGTACCACTCCCTTTGGACCACTCAAAACAGTTGAAAAATTCCATGTTGTTCAAAAGTATGAATAAACTCAAGTCTACTATGCTGATTACTCCAAATATGAGGAAAGAGGTGGTAGCACCAGCGTAAGTGATTAATAATCCACCGAGCACTCCTCCACCACCATTACCCAGACCCCAGTGCACACCACCAAGAATTCCCTGCATTGTTGCAGGCGCCCCGGGAATGAGTCCCACGAAGACGACGGCCGCTGACCATACGGCTGCTGTGGACAAGCCGTGAAGGATCTCAAAAGGTAGTACCACCCAGCTGTTTGTTATAAGGGCATAGCCAAAAAATCTGATGATATAGCATGAAAGTCCAACGTACAAAACCCGGTGATGCCCTAGCCATTTGATGAACGTACCAGAAAAACTGTAAACTGCCACCTCAGAAATACAGTGGATGGCAGTGATGGTACTGAACAAGAACTGTGTACCGCCTAAATCTTGCAAATGCCAAAACAAGAAAGTTTCTATAAAGCCCAGTGCACTTCCACAGAACAGAATTGTGAAGATGAAGTATATATATTGACAGTCACACAACAAGGCAAGCCCTTGCCAGATGCTACTTTCGTGTAACTCTTTTTCGTCAAACTCAAACAAAGCACCAATCAAGACAGCCACGCCCATTAGACACGCAAAAGCGTAAAAGCATGGCAGGTAATCTATACTCAAAGGATTGTTACAGTTACTCAGTTCCTCAACTGTGCTTAGACTTGATCCAACAATAAAGGCTGCTAGTCCCCAGCCAAACGCTCCCCATAAACGCTGCTTGCCGTAGTCCTCTGGCCTGTTACCTTACGAAGGAAAACATACAATCATAATAACGGTCACGATCACGATCAATCACGATCATTACTACTACTACTATGACTACTACTACTACCACTAGTACCACCACTATCACTTATACATGTTATCAGTAGTGTTGTGATATCAATAACGTATTTCATTGCTTTACCCAAAAAATCTACTTAGAAGTAAAACAAGGTATCACAACAAAGTTTACGTATGTTTCCAAAAGAAATAATCAAGAAAATTTTTGAATATAGACAACTTCAATATACTCACCAAGCTTCTGCAGTGTGGCAGTGTCAGCTAAGGTAATAGCTGGTGCAGCAATCAGTGTACCAGTAGCTGTGATAACAAACAGGATGGTAAACAAGTCATGATCATGTGGATTTAGCCACTCATGTGCCTCCTGTGTCGACTCATAGTCCGCCACTGTGTCCAGAGGCCATGGATACTCCCCAGCCATGTTCAGGGAGTCGAAAACTCTTTCCGTCCATCCGCTGTAAAATTGAATGAAAACCCCGTCCTCGTTGATACTACTTGAATTCATGAAAAGTGTTAAGATATCTGGTTTGGACATCAGTGCGCTTTTATCCAAGCTGGCTCGGCGTAACCTTTGTTCATCACTGCCGAATTTGAAGCACTGTCCTATTGTGATTAGACGTTTGTTATTGCTCCCTCTTTGATTATCGTTGAGTGACGCATGAAGAAATCTTCCTTTATAAACACTTCGCTTACGAACCATTGACTTGTTCACTATCGGGGGGCTACTTGTATGGAGTGTTGATCTGTCTAAAAATCGATGTATCTGTTTGATTCCTCTTTTAGAAACCAAAATACTGTCGGTTTTTTCCATCAAATCGTACAAAATGTTTACATGATAATTTACCTGAAGCACTTTGTTTACTTTGTTTTGAAGTGTATACTTCAATGGTTGACCTGCGTTTCGCTTCGAAGGATGTTTTGCCCTCTCTTTCCTGACTATCTCAAACCAATGATTACTAGAATTTCCAGAGTTTGCTGAAAGAGGTATGGAGGGTTTATGCGTGGAATGTTTATGATGAGTTGTGTTATTCTTCTGTGAGATCGTTCTGTTTTTCATTTCTTTCATAATTTCTTGGATGATTGTTAAGGTAGCGTTATCATTGCAAACGCCCAAATGAAAAACAGGAGATACGAGAGACAAGGAATAGTTCGATACCAACCATGCAACTAGTGACACCACAAAGATCACTTTGCTTTTCTTGTATGTATCTGCGATGACTCCCCACATAGGCGTTCCGAAAAGCTGAATCAATGGTCTGATTCCGATCAGTATTCCTGTTTCATGGGCGGAAAGCCATAGCTGTTTATAAAACACTGCGAGATAAGGAAATAAAGAACCCACAGCCGAAAAGAAAAAGAAGTAAAAACTTTTGTAAATAATGAGGCTTCTGTTAATATTTTGACAACATCTTAAACAGGCTTTCTCTTTGTTTTCAGACGATCCATTTGTTTTCTCTCCTCTACTGCTTTCATGATCATCAGACCGCTCTTTATCTGGTATCCCTGTCAAATCACGGCTCTTTTTGGCGGCGTCTTCTGTGTTACGGAGTATGAGAGCCAATCCGTACAACTCTTCCTCGCTCTCTATTTCAATTGCTGTACTTTCCCTTTTAATTTTTTGATCTTCTGAAATCGTTTCTTCTGTACTCCTCTCCTCCTCTTGTTTAAACTGCTGCTCCAATCTTACTTTCCCGATCATCATTTTACAGCTGCTCAAAGACAAAGTCAAACAACCTGTTCATTTTTCTCACTTCACAGGTACCAGCTGAAAGCGTCACTTCACTTTGTTACGAAGAAACACTCCGCTCTGCCCGTAATTGACATTTATTCAGCAATTGTTTGGAAACTTAAGCGTCAGTTGATTTCTTGTAAACAAACAAAAGAAAAATTCAACTGTAACGCTCCGAGTTTGTTCCCCTTTTATTTCCGTTTTTGTTTAGTTTTTATTTTATCGTTCCCTTTGGCTTATTTTTGAAATTTTCATTTGTTTCACGGTTACTAAGGGTCCACTGAAATGACATGAATTAAACCAAAACTAACCCTGTAAGAGCACAGGTGAATTTAAAAGACAGTGCTTCAGTTGCTCAATGATTATGCGAAACAACGATGAACATTTCATCGACCTGAAGTATAGGTGTCATTTGGTTTTTAGCGTGTTCAAGCGACCTTAAAGCGAAAGCATAGTGAAACTATCCGCGAGAGAATGAGAGCGAACAATATTTTCCCCATTTCTGATGCGTAATTCACACTCCGGCGTAGAAGACCGAAGAAAAAATGATGACTTTCTCCCATGTTAAAAGTTTAATTGCTCTTTAACAAAGCATTACCATGTTAAAAGTAAATGTGCTGTTACTGTCTACTCTCCGAGTCATGTGATAGATAGAGCTGGACTGTTGCTTTACAATAAGATTGGTGTCCTTTCGCAAATCACATTTCTTCCACTGCCAAACTTAGTTATTGATTACTAGGGAGACAGCTTTACTTGACTTTAAACCGTTTACATTTTGGCACTGGCTCACAAGAGGGAACTTGCTTTTTCAGATAGATTAGATATTTGTCGAGAGTGTCGTATAACTGGACAAATGTACTGCTCTAGTTGATATGGAATGATAAGAAAGGTAACTGATGTTGGTGTGATCAGAGCAGTCTAAAAAACTGACGCTTTTTCTAAGTCCATCTTTTCTTTAAAACAAACAATTTTCTTTTTTTGAGTTTCTTCAACTGAGTTTACGATGTAAACTGGCCACCGTAAAGAGTTTCTAGAGCTGACGTTTCGAGCATTGGCCGTTCCCCAGGGCGAATGGTAAAGGGCGAATGTTCGAAATGTTAGCTTTTGCAGTGGCCAATTTACATTATCAACTCAGTTGATAGAACCAAACTATCTTGATATACCCCCACCAATGTATAAACTCTTTGAATGGTAAAATGCCGCAAAAAAATAATTAATCTATTTATGATAAAGTTCCGATAAAAAGCGAGCTGAAATTTGTTGAAAGGGCGTATTTTATCACAGTACAAAAAACGGAGCTGAGCTGAAGCTGTCACACCATTTGCCAATTTGTACCTTGTCCGTCCGTTTTCCGGACTTCTCTCTAACTTTTTTTCGTTAATTGAAAATGAAATTTCGCGAGCTGGCAAGTAGGAGCAGAGGAACCAAACAAAAGTTTTTAAACATGCTAGGCGCCGTAATTGACGTTATTATAACGTGAGCAGAGACGAAAATCACCAAAGAGAAAACGAAATCGACAGTCCGAGTTTTAATGGTTTTGACGCTCAGTTTGATTGTAAGCTTGCGTACGGTAATGAAACTCAATCACAGCTAACATTCGTATGATATATATAGTCTAGTGTTCAAAAACAAAACAGAACAAAACACTCATGATGAAAAATATAACCAAACCGGCATAACTTAGAAATCATGATGGTGTCTGAGCGATTGCGATCATGCCTTCATCCATCGCGGCTCCGGTCATTGCAGCGAAACAAGCCTCAGAAATTACACCGTCCGCCCTTCGAGTGAAAACTAAAAGCTTGCTCAGCTTGCTCTGATATCCTTCCCTATGCGTTGGGTGGAAGTCCACATCAGTCACAGCTAATGGTTGTATGTTAAGATCAATTATGGCATAAGCATGATAAAATGGCCTTTTTTATTCTTGAATTTTCATCCCTTTATCTGTGGAACTTATGTTAAGCGGTCAACCTGCATTTAGGGGTCACCTTGCCGTTTTTCGCTTTATATAGGTTTGACTGTATCGCAGATCGTGAACTTTGATGGTTTGACATTTTTGACAGCTTTGGTCCTATTCAAACAATCGCATTGTTGAACAATTTTGACGAGGAAGAACCTGGGAACCTGGTACTCAAGAAGTAGGGAGAAACACTCGACGACGTCCTATGTTTCCCTCTTCAAGCTCTATCCACTAGCTGTGTGCTTTGCAACAGGACAGAGCACAGTCACGGCTTCTTTATTTGTTGAATAAAAACGATCAACTCTCTTCAAACTTCAAATGATAATAAGAGGTCTACTTACCAAACAAGGTTAAATCGCATGCAGTTCAATTATCAAAACAGATTTCCAATGCATCAGAAAAATCAATTACTGGATTGGTTGGTCATCATTGTTTTATGACGTCATGATAGCGATCGCTATGTGATTATGACGCGTAAATTGAACCACGCAGCCCCCGTAATTTTCCTTCAGATAAAGTTTTCTCAGTCTATTCTTAAACAGATTACTGCTAAGAGGTATTGAGGTATGCATATGTAAGGTAAGAAGCGAGTTGCCAGTTAACGGATTCTTGCGTTTGCGCAAAAAAGAGGTTATTGAGTTATTTCCCAGCGATAAATGGCTAATTTTGTAATATTTAAAGATCATTACACGATCATGATTCTGCAATAAACCTCACACAAGGACATAGCCCAGTTGTATAAAGGGCGTATAACGCTATGCAACGGATAAATCGCTATGCGGTTGATAAGTGATAGCTAAACGTTTAGCGTTATCCAGTGGATAGCGTTATCCAATCTTCAAACAACCGGGCCACAAGTTTATCGGTATATTTTAAAACATATTTCGTAGTTATTTTAAACGAAAACTTATGGTTCCATCATATCAACATCGACTAAATCCATTTCTGACATGATTGGTTGATCTCTCTCCAAAATCGTGGATTTGGACGTCGAAATAAGCTTTCGCCATTATTTTGGTTCTAGCGACTTGCAGAGTTTGACCCCCCGGCGATCCCACAAATCTTTGCGCCAAAAGAAGGGTCCGATTACTGAGAACTCATTTACTACTTTAAGGCTTGGTTAAACAGTTTGTTTGAGACGCTTATCTAAACTTTCTCGGGCGGCGCGGCGCAATGCGAACAAGGGCGAAAGTCAAAAGAGCAGACGTAAAATTACGCTTCTCTGGCTCGTTTCTTTCTTAATCTGCGCTTTCCCAGTCGTACTTTTACACCTGTATATCTGTTACCATCGAGGGGGTCGTTATTTCACTTTTCCAGGCGGATTGATCTATTTTCAAAAAGTTCCTCAGGACGAAGCTTACACAGTTTTGCAGAGTGCGTCATCACATTTTTCCCATCATGAATTCTTACCGTTTTTAGTCCCCATACTGTCTTCATTATTGTTGTTTTACTACAGATATTTGATTCAATGTATTCATCCAATCATCTTGAAACGTTCTTTCCATTAACTCAACGTACCAACAAAACCCGTCAAACATAATTGTGTGTTATAATGGGTGGAGTTTTTTTTTATGAAATATGGCGTTTCCTTTGGCTTAGTGCATGACGTTATTTAGTGATTATATTTAAAGAAAAAGCACTTTAGTCCTAGCCACGTATGTCTCGTTTGCAGTTCCGTGAGAGCCACTGTACTTCTACATATCAAAGTGGGACTGACATACAATAAATTTTACGCAAAATGAATTTTATAACAAAGTTGAATTTACAGGAGATGTTTCAGATGCTCCATTTTTTAATTGTATCGATATACGTTCCTTTTGTTTAGTCTTCGCCATTTCGTAAATAGTCTCTGTGATTGTTATAGCTTGATTTTCAAAAAATACAAACAAGTAGAAAAGAAATCAAAAGAGATTAGTGTAATAGAATCCTTACCATAAATTTATGAAGGAAAACATTAGGCTTAAAAGACGAATCTCAGAAACTCCCAAACGACGATATGACCTCATTTTTGACAATTTTTGTCGCACATCATTTCCATTTTAGTATAGTAGTTTTTCTCTGAAAATCTTCTGCCGAAGCTCGTCCTCATGTGTCGCAGCAAGTTCTTCGTCTTGGTTTTAAAATACCAGTAAGATTCTTGGTTGAGATCCAGAGAAATCGGCGTCAGCGAGAAGCAAAGGCAATTTAATTTGCCTATTCAAGGAATAGCGTAAAATTTGACGGTTTATGAAGGTCAACAACTTATCATCTTAGCAGAACGGGTACGCCCAAAAGGCTTCTCTGAGTACGTTGGCTGGTTTAGAGTAAGTATAATTTCTTTTCACCGAGGATCGTTCAAATTCCACGGCAAAGTTTCCTACCTTGTTTTGTGTTCCTTCGTCGCTTTGATCACAAATGTGCTCTGTCTTTGTCAGGTTATTGGTTCATGCCACTTGCTTGAACAAGCAGTCGTGTTAGTTTCACAATTTACACACCTGTTGCGGTCGAATGAATGTTTAACCAACTTGTTTGTCTATTAAAGCAAAGAGATCATACAAATGGACTTCTTGCTTCGCTCTAGTAGATCTGAAGTCAATAGCTGGGATGGCTGCTTTTGTCCTATGTAGTGCTTGAAAGAATTTCCACCCTTTAATTCCAACAATGCCTTTTGCAACCTCTCAGCTTAAAGACATTTCTGATAGCTATTTTCCAAAATACGAACCAGTGCATTACTCAGAAATCGTACAGTTTATTCTGGATATGTTGTCTAATGTACCTCAAACACCTCCCACATTGGTTTCCAGCGAGTCGTGCAATTCGCAGTGTTATAGACGGTTTCGTTTTATTATAACGCAAGCATTGTCACTAAACCTTCAAACAAACATCAGATAGATGCCTATTTGAGTTTGGCAATATTCATTATCTTAAACCTTTTCTCTTTCTGCCTCCCAGTGAATTCAATGTAGCTGTCAATGGTTGGAGAGCAGGGAAATCGGACATCCGGGCCTAGAAACACTGCGTCCCGTTCAGTACCAAACAGTTACTGGTGGAAACGAATTCACAATTTGAATGCGCGGTCAGGAGTGCAAGAAGTCAGTGATGGCCTTAACTGTGCAGAGAAATTTAGCTCGTTAGTGTCTTGTCACCGAGGATATGGATCTGTGGCATTTTATGCCGTTTTTTCTTTGTTTATTTTGACATTCTTGTACGCGATTTGGAAAATCGTTAGCGCTCACTCTCGCTCCACACGGAGGCCTGGTTCGAGTAACTCTACATCAACAACTAAGTTAGGTCCCACGCCGCATGCCCTCACGGGCTATCCCGCAGCTCATCCTTGGATGACAACAGAAAGCATAACGGAACATTTTCATCAAAATGTAAAGAAACTTCACCCCTCGCAAAACGAGGCTCCGCAACAGAGGCCTTCGTCTCCAATTTATTTTCCTTCACCAAATAACGAGCATGAAAAAATTACATCTGTTACCAACAATGACGATCCTTTAATTGGAGGGAATGTTGCGCTCAGGAACCTTTTACCAACTTTGCCTTCTCCAGCGAGGGCGACAAAACGCTTCAATAACTATTACCAAGGAGCATTCAATAGTATTCAGCCAGCGTTAAATTACCCATCAGAACAATACCCCGCTGTTTTTAATCCAATTCTACCTACAGTTCGTTATCCGAAAGCTTATTATCTTTATTCTCGGCCTCCAATACCGGCGGGTGTGATGGAAAATCAAAATTATCCAATTGAAACCAAGGTTTCCCGCCCACTTCCATATAGCAGCAATTCCGTCGGAATTTCAAATGATAAGCCAGCCGTGTCGTCATATCCTGTGGAACCTAATGTCTCCTACATAACCCCCTATTACTTTCCTTCAAACAAGAATTCTATGACCAGAAGTTCCTTCAGCAACGGTTATTATGGAGAGAGCCCCTTCATGAGTAATTTCGTTGGAGCAGAAACTACTCCATCCCCTCTCATTTCCTTCCTTAAAGGAAGTTCTAGCAAAGTCAGTTTATCACCACGACAATCAAGTCAAACCGGGGAAGGGAGGAAGAAGCCTCGAAGAAAAAACAGAAGACATAAGAAAAGGAAACAGAGTCGCCCTTTCAGAAAACACTCGGAATTCGAAGAAATTCAGGATATTGAAGAGGAAAGCAACAGAGCGTCGAGTAAAGCTTCCTCACCAAGACATCATAAAATTGAAGTTGAGAGGAAAGCGGGAAAGCAAACCAAGGAGCGTTATGGCACACGAAAATTGGGTAAGGGTCGTCATACTGGTTCGACAATTAGAGGAGTGCGTCATAGATCACATATCCTTGCATCAAGACGAGTGCACACTTCATCGGAAATTGAGGTTTATCACACTTATCATGGATTGGAAAAGAAAGCACAACATAAGAGACGTCAAGACACATCAAACAAGTATAGAAGGACAAATATTCCACATCCACAGATAACTGTGCAGACCGGTCACTCAAGGCATTCGCATTATCATTTCAGAAAGAAGGATCATGCAATTCATCGTCATTCAAAAGGGTTAGGCGGACACCACGTCGCACATGAGCGGCATGGGAAAATTTTGGATTTCAAGCAATACCATCGGTACAGAAAGCATCATTCTCTTAGTGACGAAATTCGAGGTAAATGGCATATTAGTAGGCATCGCGTTAAAACGTGTAATGTTATTGATACTTTTGCAACTCGCGGAACCGTGAAAATTACAAGGGCTGTGGGTCACAAAAAGCAGTATTTGCACACATTACTCGCATGTCGACCTGTAAGGTTGAGAGTAAGGCATAGAAACCATCAACGGACGTTTTCCGTCAAATATGCTCAGCTGTGCAGTAAAAGGTGGTACGTGACTAAAGGTGTTATCCACATTCAGAAAACAGTTTCCAATGAAATAGAAATTCCACGATATAACGTGCGTATTTGTGAGCCTTCTTATGCGCATGCCATGAACCTTCTGCCTACCAAAGAGAAAGAAACCAAGGTTTGGGGTTTATCCCAAGAATTTCTTCGTAAAGTGGAGAAAGAGGATGAGAGAAAATTCAAATTAAGCTCTTCATCTTCGAAGCGTGGTCACAAAAAAAAGAAAAAGAGAGTAAAGCCGTGGCAACACAGCAAAAAGAAAAGCTTCAGATCAAATAAGACTCGCAACTCCATCAAAAAGCCAAGAGAGTACCACAAAGTAGAGACAAAGTGGAAAATACATCATCATAGAGTGCACAAAAAAAGTCACCACCTGAAACGTAAATCAGAGAAAAGACATGGTGGAAAGAAGAAGAAACATAACAGGAAAGTGAAGGGTGGTTTGGAAACGAAAAAGAACAAGCTTTCATCCAAGAGAGGCGAAGAACACGTTCAAAATCCCGATAAACTATTCTATGGAAAGCTTTTACGAGTTCTTAAACTTGCTAGGACGTATGAGAGGAAAAAGGAAAACAAAACAAATAGCGATGATGTTTTTGATTCTCTTGAAGCTGTTCTTACGCAAAATAGAAATGTAGACAACAACTCCATCAGAAGTGATAACTCGACATCAAAGATAAATCATGCAAAAGAAAATAATGTAACCAAACACAATGAGAGGGATGGAGACCCAGCAGGACAACCAAAAAGTCGCCAAAAGGATAGTAAGGTCAACATTCAAAGGCTGTTGGCCAAAGTACTTCCTGCAGTAGTAGCTAAAATCATCAACGCTGATCACGACGTCGGGGAATCAGAGGCCACTGAGGTAAAGACTAAACCAACACAGAGCACAACTACAGAAAAGACGACGACAAAAAAGCCTATACCAACGAATAAGATTACCACCCCAGCGAAGAATTCATTAGGGGAAAAAAGCATGCAAGACATCGTGAAACGCATTTTGCCACTCCTGCTTCAGAGGGCTGGCAAAAAAACAACAAAGCAGGCACAAGGAATCAAATCGAAGCATAAGACAAAAGAGCCATCATTTCCACCAAAACGAACATCTCCTAAACCCAAGAAAATAATGGTCAGGACAAGTTTGACGAATATTTTATCAAAGTTAGGCATAGGCAACTTAGATTCAAATAGCCTGAGCAGCACAATTCTTGCAAAAACAACAAGTTTTATTCCGAAACCTCCATTGAAGTCCAAGCCGAAATCAACTGCTGTTCCGTTGAAGACTACTGTGATAACGACGATTCCACCCCAGTCACCATATACACCACTAACGCCTACTCTTACAACCCAACTACCTCCAACCCTTAGAGAACCGGACATTGACCGATCATCATTTCGTCCAACGATGGAGCAGTTCTTTCCCCCACATGAAAATTCACAGATTTCCCCAGTAGGACCTCCATCTGTCTCTCAGTCAGAACCTTCATCTGTTCAGTCACCAGGGTCTTTACCAGCATCCTCTCCGATATCTTTTTCTCCTCGAAGGTCAGATCCTTACTCGCGAAACATTTTATGTTTTGGAGATAGTTTGACTAGTGGCTTTTTCAACCACGGGCGAAATTTCCACCCCTACAGTCAACGACTCAGTCAACTACTGAATTCTGATGGTAGACTGAAGTATTACGTCAAAACGAGTGGAAAAGTGCGTGAAATGGCACATGGCAGCATGACCAAGCGCTTACCACAAGTATTGGGAAACAGCTCACGATTTGATTGGGTAATCATTCTGGGTGGAACTAATGACGTAGCACATGTTAAGAATTTTGGAGACGATGATTCATTTATGACTCAGCTAATTAACGTGTGGCAGCCACGAATTACACGTGATATTGAAATGCTCCATGAAACTGCACACCGGTACGGTGCGCGAACCCTCCTTTTAACCATTCCGGAAACGGCTTACGAAGCTTGGCCTAGTTTTAAGACCTTGTGGGTTATGCGTAATAGACTAAACGAAGACTTGCGAAAGTATGCGCTTAGATCTCAAGGAAATGTAGTGCTGTGTGATTTGGCTGCTAAGTTTCCGAGACATTCGCTTCCGCCTCAAACCCAAGCTCTTTTGTGGAATGATCATCTTCATCCTACCGCTTATGGCTATGACAAGATGGCTGAGATAGTATACCAGTGCTTAAAACCGTACCTTCGTTGATATATATCTGACAAGAGGATGAGAAATGTTTTTCTAAGGCAATTTAGGCAACTCGTGGTGTTTGTTAATAACATAAACATAGGGCGAGAAAACATTTTGCCCTTGGTAGTATTTCCAGTGTTTTGTATTTTTACATTTTTTTAACCTCAAAGTACATAAAACAATAATTTCCATTTTGATTTTTTAAAATTATTTTATTGATATATTCAGTGTTAGCTTGATAGCTCTCAATTATCGATAAATTACTCGTACCATTCCTTTTATGGCCATATTAAGTACTTCAACGGTGAGTAACTTTACGACGTTAAGAATTAGATGTGTAAACACTTCATACGGACATTTAATACAATTAAACCTTTTTTCCTACTGAAAAGTGTGCCATCTGTCATTGTCCGTACATTATCAAAGTGTAATCTTATTTGTCCTCGAACGACAAATCAATGAAACCTAAGTAGATTTATTTTTTGAGAACAAAGTTCATTTTTTAGGATGTTGTTTTTTCCCCACGTTATGATTCTGTAGTGAAATAACATCAAATATCACCTATCCATTCTAGAGACATGTAAATTTGCGTAAGATTTCCTCCACTTTCTTAAAAACTCAGTTTACTGATAAAAACGAATCGATATGGCCATGATGTGGCGATTCTGTTTAGAGATTCGTGAAGTAACCCTCCAGAATGGTCATAAATTAACGTACAGTGCGAAGATATGAAGCGAAATCATGTGTCGATGGAGATTTCTTTACCGTTTTTAACATCACCAGGATTTTAGCAGCCATAATCCTTAAACACGATTTGTCAGGTACTTTGAACAATCTATGTCAGGTTCTCTCTAGTAATCAAACTCTGTCATGCGTTACCAAGTACCAGTCGACAATTTAAAACAGTATTACACGCAATTGTTGGATGTCTCCGCAAAGGAATGAACTGTTCTCGTCAGTAAGCTGTGATTTTGGATGGATTCTCATCCGTAATCAGAAATGAAGGAAAGCTATAATCGAAGTTATATGTTAAAATAAGACACAGTAGGGTCTCTTCATCATCTGAACCAGTATCGAAGAGCGCTCTTGAGATTCAAGGCAAGGAAACCATTTACGACGTCCACGGATTCATTCAGTTCTAATTTGTTAGACTGAGCTCTCGAGATAAATAATACAATCTAGGAAACCTTTGAAATTCATGGCGGATGAGTGCAGCAAGAGTAAGTAGCAAGAAAAGTTTTCTTCCTGGCATGGATAAAGGACTTTGGCTCTCAAAAGCATTTTACACGTCATTTTACGTGGCTATTGGGGCACTGTTTCCGTACCTACCAGTTTATTTCAAACAGCTGAGATTATCTTCCCATCAAAACGGAATCCTTATTGGTATCCGTCCACTGATTCAGTTTTGCGTAACTCCTCTGTGGGGCGCATGCGCAGATAGGTTTTGCAAAAGCAAGGTTATATTTCTGATGTCGGTATTAGGTTGGTTAGTGTCAAATTTCTTATTGTCATTAGTTCCAACTACTGATGAACCTCAGTGGTGTAAACTTTACAACAATAACAACAGCAAGTACAATGATTATAACGATGGTGATGACAGAGAAATTTCATTGCCGAACAGTCGCACATTCTCACTTAAATTTACTGGGAACTTTTCCGATTCAAACACTGTTACTCGTCAGCAAACAAGAAAACACGATTTTTTTTCCAGAGTGTCGCCGGTTCTTGACACAACTGTACCGTTCTTACCTATAACATTTAAAGATCTGAAGACTGTTTATAACGTTACTTTACACAACCACGGCAAAGAAGTGGAAGCCCTGAGGATCAATGACGGCTGGAAAGATCAGCTGGAAGTGGCATCATTAGAGCCTTCAGCTACAAAGCCTCCTCAAGATTTTTCAAACGCAATAGCAACAGAGAATGAGTACGTTGAATGTGACTCCAAGGAATTTCTATTCTTGTTACTTGTAACTGTAATTGGTACGGCGATTGCAGCTCCAGCCCAAGCATTTGCAGATACTGTAACGCTTCAAAATCTTAACGGTGAATCTCATAAGTATGGTCGAGTAAGACTCTGGGGATCTCTGGGTTGGGGCATTGGAGGATTTTCTGTCGGAGCTGCTGTCAGCGCGAATTATCGCACGAATCGTTGTGGTGAGACTGTCATCAACTACATGCCTTGTTTTTACGTTTATGCGGTGGCAATGAGTGTGGCGTTTGTATGCGCAACTCAATTTCAGTTTGATCAGCCTTTTATCAAAGATGAGCAAGAAGTAAATGTCACAGGTGGCTCAAAAACTCCAAAAATTCTCCAAGGGCTCAAGGTTTTTCGTAATCCTCAATTCTGTTTTGTCATGTTCATCGCGTTTTTTTGCGGTTCAGCTACGGGATTTATAGAAACGTTTCTATTTTGGTATCTTCACGAATTAGGGGGAGGACAGTTATTATTCAGCGTGATGAACGGGCTAAACTGTGCGGCAGAAGTGTGTGTGTTTTTTGTGACGGACAAGCTGCTCGGTTTTCTTGGACACATCAATGTTATCTATGTCGCGTTATTTTGCTACTCTATTCGCTTTATTTACTTCTACTTCGTGAAAAGTCCCTGGGCAGTTTTACCCGCGGAATTACTCCAAGGAATTACCACCGCAGCATTCTGGTCATCGTGTGTTTCTTACGTTGGGTTGCATCCCGGAGCACCAAACACAGTTCAAGGAATTCTAAATGGAGTTTACATGGGACTTGGTTTCGCATCTGGTGGGTTTATAGGAGGATTTCTTGTACAATTCGCAGAAATGAAGACTTTGTTTCTTTTGTACGCTCTTATAAGCTTTTGTATCCTTATAATATTTGTTTTTTTAAACAAGATCAAATCAAAAACATAAGATATATTCGTTTATATCGCTCCATTTTTATTTCTGGGATTCTTCCCGGTATACAATTATGGGTTATAATTTTAAAGTCGGTTTACTGTTGTACTTTCCAGAGTAAAATTGGTTGATCAAATATTTTCCAATAGTAACAGCAACAATAACAAAATATTTAACTGGTCATCCGGTTGCTGACTTTGGCGTAAGCAAAATTTTTCCTTGTTAGATAATCAGCTGGTTAAAACTAAAACTTCCAATGCGAGTATTTCTGCCTAAATTGTCTTTGTAAGACAACATATTTGAGCTTTCTGCAAACTTGTGTATGTAAGTTGCGTAAAAACATTAAAAAAACGAAAGCGACCAAAATATACATAGTGAACGCACAGCATCCACATGATGTTTTAATTAACTTTGATCATTTGGTTTATCTTCGAATATTTTGTTAACTGACCCAAACATCAATAGCATAATTAACCCGAGGCCACCAAATATAGAGAATGTTACTTGAGCTCCATAGCTACTGAAGAGAAAACCTCCTATTACTCGCCCTAGTCCATGACCTACTCCATGATACACACCGTGGAGCATACCTGTTGAGAAAAGCAACATGGCCTCCGTGAATTGAGGATAGAAAGCTTTCATAGGTCGTTTGTCTAAAGTCCTTGTTTTTTAAACAACAATTCAAATTTACTGAAGAATTAGAAATTTCCATCAACAGATGTAGTTTATGACTGGTTTAAAATGGAACAACAGACTTGTAAAGAAGAGAACGTCGCTTCACGTCAAAACCAAGTTAAACCATACTTTGCTTCATTTTGCATTTCCTCGCAGGTTTTATAAACGGACAACTATTTTGTTTATGCCCCTATTTACTGGTCTGACTGCCAGAGTCGCTCTTTATCAAGGCAGGCTACTTGTATATGTTTTTATCAAGACAGGTCACTGGTATATATTTTAGCTCTGAAAGTGTACGTACTTCTTAAAACACATAACTCAGGAGTCAGAAATGCAAGTTTTCACCTTGTAAAGTGGCAGGGGCTCCTTCCACGGAGTTATATGCAATATACGTCACAAATCCTGCCCAGCCTCCTGCAGAAGTTAATCCTGACAAAACTTCAAGGGCAAGGTAACACCACGGATTGGTAATGAGTACATAACTTGTCAATCGCACCACATAAGACGCCAACACAAGGTATAGCAAATTATGCACACTTATTTTAGTTATAACGTGAGGGGACACTGAGTACACTATGACGTCTGCAATACATCTCACAACAGGTATTATGCTAAACATTATCTGTGGGGAAGAACAGTCTTCCAAGTGCCAAAAAAGGAATCCCATGATCATGCCAAAAGTCATTCCACTGTAAAGAACAATTACAAAGAATGCCAAGTAACGAGGACGACTCACTGCTTCTAACGCTGCCATAACACCAATTTGCTTTTCCCTTACCGTGTCATCCCTACTGTCTGTACCGTTTAAACCGAAATCAAGCCGAAGCCCGGAAAAAAGAGCTAAAAGCTTCAATGAAATGGAGCCATAAAAACATAAACTGTAGTCAATAGTTCTTTTTTGTCCAGGTACCAACGGACACAAATATTTGTCACTCACCATTGCACCGAAACTAAACGCAGCCAAACCCCACCCTATTGAGGCCCATCTTTTCTGTTTTCCATACTGATGTATATCGTTGTTACTCCGCAAGAGGCATACAGCAGCAGAATCACCAAGAGCAAGGCCTGGGCACGAGAATAGTGTACCAAATAAACTGACTAACAGCAGGTATAAAAATACATCGAATTTTTTCTGGCGACCAGCTTGCTCGTGACTGAGTACAAGAAAATCATTCTGTTCTTCCCTTCCCATTGACCATCGATAAAGATTCTGCGATTCTGATATCAACTGATACATGTTTTTAATAAAAGACTGATTTCTCGCAGATGTTGATTCCCGATGAATGTCTCCTCTCATTTTGTGTTTGCATGTTGGCATTGGAGTTAGCAGAAATGCTATTCCAACAGCTACTGAAGCAATGAACGAAATCACGAATACCAGTTTTCCCCTCTTGGTCTTGTCCGATAACGCTCCCCACATTGGAGTAAATACGAACGATATGAATGGTTGAATACCGGAGATGATTCCGGCCTGTTTGGCCGGGAGACCTAATTGTTTATAGAACAAGGGCAAAAATGGCAGTATGGCGCCAAGTCCAGCAAAGTAAAAGAAATAAAACATCTTTGGAACAATATATTTCTGGTTCAAGCAATTGTAGCGAAGGAATTTGTCGCTGTGTTGTTTAGATTCTTCATCTGGGTGACAAGAGCTGATACTCTCTTTATTTGGCATTCTCATGAAATAAACTGGGTGGCTCTGACTGGCAGCTTGCAGCCGAGCTCTGCTAGGAAAACAACCAGCAATAGAGAAGAGTGTGATTATGGCTTATGGGAAATAAAAACTTACGTTACTTAAGAATTTTTGAACACAGAATCGTACTTGATTTTACCGTTAATAACGATCTGAATCTGGCCTAGTGCGCATGTGAGATGCACATTAAACTCTATAGGGTTTGCTAGTCTCATATGGATTTATATCGGAAAATTTAAGTTTCTACTATTTTGCAGCGACTTACTTCATACACGTTTGCAAACCTAACCACATCAGAGATAATTAAAAGTACTTTGTCCTAGATTAGAGATATCCACCATTACTCTGTTCCAAACCTGGTCCTTATTTTAGGCTTCTCCTCGTTCGTGCTTAGTGAATCTGTTCCTTCCCTTCCCTGGGGCGTTCCACTAGACGAAGTGCAACTTACTTGTGCAACTTACTTGTGCAACTTACTTGTGCAACTTACTTGTGCAACTTACTTGTGCAACTTACTTGTGCAACTTACTTGTGCAACTTACTCTCCGCCTCTCCCGCCGTCCTTCCTCTTTTAGTACGAGGAAGGAATTATCGCAGCATCTGGTCCAAACGCCACCACTGTCTAGCCGAACATTTATTGGATTCTCGTTCCATCGGGTACTTCTCAATTTGTAGGCAGTTGTGGAATTCAATTGTGTGGCTAAGTAGCCGAGAAGGAATGTTAAACCCTCGAGGGTGAGTTCTGCAAAGAAAGACATGAAATAACTCTCTGGAAGGTTTTTTTCGGGCAGGGCGCGAGGTCAGTATCTCAACATTGCATCAGCTCGCTGATTAATCGCAACGAACCGGACTGATCATTACATTGTTAGTCGTTATCCTTAAGGGTACCCTCTTACTGTATGTGGAAATGGTAATGATTTCACAAATACAAAATGTGACGGAAATCAAAACTGTTGAATCTGCTGTAACAAACTCAAATGATAGCCAAAAGTAGTATAAAAAGCGGCAAGGATTTATACGGATGGGTGGAGCATCCTCATAAAAGTTCGAAGGGTATTCCAGCAGCGAGTCAAATAAGCCTTCATATTGGCTAGCATATCACAGTTTAGCTCACGATCAGCCAAAGAAATGGCCAGAATACCAATTATGGAGCCTCAATTTTGTGTGTGTGCTACGGTCAAGAAAAATCATAATCGAACATATTACTTTGATTTCTGAGTTACAGGAAATATCATCACCTTCATTTAACATATTTTGGTTGTCTGTAAAAAGAAGGGCTCAAACCTTGCCAGTAAAGAGTGAAATATATGACATATAACTCAAGATCTTAATAACTTTATATCATTCACATACTTAGTCAGTTACTAATTACTGAGACTGAAACGGTACCTTCCAGTAACCTGTCCTGACACCAGCTTCACATAACGGAAACCCTTGAGCCCCAGCTTATCAAACCTTCATTCCCAAACAACAGTATACGAAATTATATAATTGATATTTTGGTTATTAACTTTACTAAATGTTAAGAGTCTTATCCTAACCAAACGGAAGGTATCTCTCCAGTCCAAACTTTCTTACGTAAACTCATTGCTTTTTTATCTGAATTTCATTTAACAAGAGCTCGAGAGCCGTTGAGAATCCAACCGGTAAACTGGGTGAAAAAACAGAAATATACTTACTAAGCCAATTAATTCCTGGGCTGATTCCTAAGTTTTCTGATATTTAGACGAACATTTCTCGGTAATTGCTGGTCTCAATTCGAACAAGTGTTAGGACTGCAGGTGGCAGTTAACAGCTTCCGCGGGGTTGCACCTGTGTTTATCCTGTCAAGATTGATATTGAGTAAGAGTATTCACCACTGCGTCACTAAAAGTGCAGGTAGCAGCAAAAACGAGAAATACTCTGTCAATTGGAAGTGCTTCCCGCCAAAGTTTATCTCTTTGTCTCGTCAGAACTAAAACACACAAGAGACATGATGTTTTCTCACAATCCACTATCTTCAGTAACTTGACGATGTTCTCGTATTATTGTTGTCGAGTGTAAAGCTGAACATCATGTGGACATTAAGGAATTTTGCCGAGTTGTATGTTATGTGTATGTAGTAAAACCCCGCTTACCCATAAGTTTAGTTAGAAGTGAGAAAGCCAAAAATACTTTCCCTGCATTCTCTTGAATATTACAGCTTGTAAAGCGATCTTTGGATAAATTGTCAGCGGAGGATGAGCTGAAAATCACAACGCGTGTTACATATTTGCTTGTGTATCCATAGAAACACCATACATAATTAAAAGTAGGGCACTTTCAAAAGTATTAAAAGTTGGAAACCAAATTTAAGGAGAAAATTATTTCTGAAGACCATCACCAAAACGTTTCAAAATAGCAGATACAACGGAACCTATTGGAACGTTACCCTACAACCTGATACTTCTTTAATAGCGAAAGTGGCCCGAAAGAATCTGATTCCCCACATTTATTGTGACCATGCAGCTTGGCGTAACAGTTCTATAAATTTCCTAAACAGAGTGGAAAGCTAGGCAAATTGAGAGATGTTTTTGGAAACTTGTAATTGCGTAATTGAGCAGGGCTTTCACGCTGATCGGGTTAGCCAATCGGAGAACTAGAGAAGAAACATCTTAAGCTAAAAATGTATTTACTTTAGGCATTCCTCTCGATGCGGTTTCATTTTCATTGCTACGTAGTCTCCATCCACCATATTTCCCAACATTTCTTTTAGAAATACGTGGCTTTTCGCGTAAGAATTTAAACTGGGACGTAGTCTACGCTGAAAACAGCCGTTAATCAATATGCAATTAGAGGCATAGAACCTTTTCTTTCATTACATGTAAGAACATGTAAGTATGAGGAGGTAGACAAATAATGGAAAGGTTTTATAGAAAATTTGGATAGGATGTTTAAAAATGACCGGCAATTCCATGGTTCTATCTTTACTAAAAATTGTAAATTTGGTCTAGATAAGTTACGTCATCTCAACCAATCAGACACAAAACTAAAATCTTTAGTTCCTGGCTTACACACGATTTCTTGCGTTTGAGACACTTTGCTTATTTTTACCTCGAGTTCTCACCAGCTCCTGATTTTCGGTTCTTCTCTCTGGTTGCTTGAACGATTTCTTTGGGTTTGGTTTTTCGACACTAGATTGAAATGCACCTTATCAGTAATTCCTTTAAGAGTAATCCTAACAACCCTTTACTGCGTGTGCACATGTAAAGCATGCGTTATTTCCTGCCATGAAACGAGATCAGCCGTACTCTTCAACATAGTGATGACTGTTCAAATAGGTGAGGAACAAGTCAATACCGTGAGTAAACGGAACTGGCAGGTCAAGAGGATAACGATTTGATTTGAGTTAGGATTTGACTCAAGATTTCCACCAAATTCTTGCTTTATAAATACGTTTCAGCTATACTGAAAATGTAGAAAGATTTTGAGGTAGAACTAGGAATGAACCAGGGGAGGGGAGGGCGTGGAATGGAACGGTCATTTTCAAAATTATTAAGGCCATCAACCTTAAAACGATCATACAAACAAAAACAGAAAAACAAACAAACAGCAACATTTTCGAAAGAAACAACATTTAAGGTGTCTAAAAGAGCTTCCTGAAATTATGTGTCAACTTTGTTGTTTTATAAGTCAAGATTTAGTACAAATTACGATTTAAGCATTTCTATTTTATATCATTACAAAAATCTAATCATGCTTGGCCATCATTTAGCTGAAATCGTTTTAACCAGTAATTAATTATATCGACACCAATTTGAAAAACTTTCCATAACCTACTTTCTTGAGTCCAGTCAGTGTAACAAATCGCTTTTAACTTTCTGATTCGTTTTTTGTGACAAAACCAACAACTGTGTTGAAATCGAGCATATGATCCTTGACTTCAATATCAGAGCGATTTTCACAGAATTTAAAGTCCTTTAATCACAGCTTTAGGAACTGTTTTGTCTCCGCAATCAGGTATGGTCGCAGAATCTTATGGACCGGTACATTAAGGTAGCCTTAGTTTATCAAAGTGCGCTCACACGTATTTAGAGCTTCAGTTTTTAAAAACTTGAACCTGCAAGTTCAGGATTTCAGCCCTCCGGAGAAACTACCAATGTCTATTTCAGAGCGGAAAACTTGGGAATAGTTCTCGGAATTTGAATTGAACCTGTAGGTTTAGGACTAGGTTTTAGGACCGGAGAGACAAGTAGTCCATTTCTTAATAGCGACTTAACTTAACGAATTAAACTCACAAAAGTTTTTAAATTTCTCTTGATACTTTATCGTGACTACAATCTATTGTAACTTAACTTTCCGAGCGCCTTATAAGCATAGTTATCGAGACTTTATTTTCACGATTTGGCTGGAAAATTTTGATAAGAAAGGAAAGAACAAAATCTCGAAATCGAATTCAATTTAATAGCTACTATTCCTAATCTTTAAATAATTTCAAATCAAGAAAACTTTTGTAAAGACGAAACTACAATGCCGTGATCATTTTTGGCCCAATGAAATGTTGTGACATAACTTTACATCCTGTGCAGCCAGAATACGTTTATGACTACCCCTGTATGGCTTTGTGAGGCAAGGAAACTAACATCATAATCGTCTATGACTTAATTAGAAAGTTTTTCGACTTAACGTGCTATTTACTCAGAATGTGCCTATCCCTAGGGTTTTACAACACTTCTACGACACCGTTTTGTTTTGCAATCGGGAGAGATAAGTGTTTCCGTTTCATAATTCTGCGTGTTTGCCTTTCTACCACGCTTTATTTTTGTCAGACCAGCCATAGAGACTGGTTAGGTGGTTGAAAAAGACCACAAAGCAAGTGATATGAACTGGCTTTAGGACGGGCAGAGAATAGCAGAGATGAATCCTAAACAATATGCCGCAGACAAAGTTCGTTCAAGTTCGTAAAAGGACTAACTTTCCTCTGTGATTTTTTTGGAAACAAGAATGTACGGAAGTACATTTTCGCTCTAAGAATATTCGATGATGCCTCTCAGTATCAAATAAACCAAAGCCTTGATTAACTGCAACAAGCCCCTTTTAGAGAAACGAATTAACAACCAGACCCCGGTTGTTCGAAGATTGGATAACGCTATCTACCGGATAAAACTCTACCAGGTGGATAACGCTATACGTTTAGCTATCACTTATCCGCTGGATAGCGATTTATCCGTTACATAGCGTTATACGCCCTTTATACAACTGGGACCAGAATTTATCAAATTTGATGCCAATTTGTTGTCTATCAAGCCTGAAAATGTTGTGCAATGTTTAAAGTGGCTTACATCATGGTAATCTCATTTGGTGAGAATTTGTTAATAGTTTTCGAATATGTCCGGTTCATTTAAGGATGCTGTTTCAGTGAAGTACAATTCATTCTAAGTTATTTGTCAGACGGTTAACTAAAATATAAACGCCCATTAAAATTAGGCACAGCGATCCAAATATGGAAAATGCAGTGGGAGCACCAAAGCTGCTTATGAGCATTCCGCCGATGAGTTCTCCTGATCCATGACCGAGACCCCAATGGACACCATGCAAAATACCTAGCAAGGATACACAAGGAAACGAATGAACTGAATTGCACCGTGAGAGGAAAATTTGCTAATAATAATTTGATAAATGGAGAAGCTCTTCTATAACTTAACGATACTTACCTTGTAAAGTCACAGAGGCACCTTCTACAGAGTGAGTGCCCACGTAAGACATCATGGCAGCCCAAACAGCCGCGGTGGTAATGCCAGACAGCAGTTCAACTGGGAGGACAGTCCAAGGATTGGTAACAAATGCGTAGTAGAACAAACGTATGGCATAGCATGTCAACCCCAGGTAGAGCACCCTTACAGTGCCAAGAAAGGAAATTAACTTCGTAGAAAGAAAATAAAGTGTCACTTCAGCAACGCAGTTGATTGCCGTCATGATACTGAAGAGAATCTGAGTGCCACCCAGGTCTTTCAGGTGCCAAAATAGAAATACCCGGATGAAACCCATGGTAATGCCGACATAGAACGCGGTAATTAAAAACATTGCATGTCTTGGTCGTGTCAATAGCATGAGTCCCGCTATTATGCCTCGGTTACCGCTTCCAGTCGTCTCTTTGCTTTGACGAGCATTATCTTCTGTTGTTTTCGGATCCCCACCAGTTTCTTTGTTATTTGGTTTACCATTCTTACCAAATTCGAATCTCGATCCTACTACTAGAGCAATGATGTTAAACACCACATACATGGCAAAACATGGATAGTAGTTGACATCCTTTTTTCTTGCGCTGCCAGGAGGACACAGGTGGGTTCTGCTGACCGCAGCACCAATTAGAAATGCCATGGATCCATAACCAACGGAACCCCACATTCGCTGCTTACCATACTTGTGCGTGTCGCCATTCTGTTTCAATAGGTTCACAGTTGCTGTGTCCGCGAGTGTTAGACTAGGACACGACAATAGGGTGGTGAAAATTGTTGCTAATAACAGATAGAGGAAAATAAATTTATTTTTTCTGGATAGAGTTTTCTTGGATTTCTGGTCTTGCAAGGCTATCATATCTGACTGAGACCAAGGCGTTTCCTCGAGGGACTCGTCAGCCATTTCTGAAACGCTGTCCAAGGAGGTCGTAAAATTGTTCCGTTTTCGTCGCGCTGCTCTGCCAGTTAGCTGATTAAATTTTACCATTTGTTCGTTGAACCCTATCGGGGATACTTTTTGTATCAGATTAGGTATGTGGGAGTGCCTCCGTAGGAAAAGAGCCACTCGTTTTGATCTTGATTTTTTTGGTTCCACTATATCAACGACTCTTGACTGTGTATCTATGTTGGTTGTTGATTTGGTAACTGGGGATTGTGATGATGCATACCAGGTGGAACGTCTGTGAAGTTTATATGAGTAGGTCGCTCTGTTGGACTCCTGTGAGAGGGCTCGCTTACTGTGAGCTTCTGTTGGCTCTGTTTCGCAGATATTGATGGGAACAAGAGCATAAGCGACCATGCCTGCTATGACAGCGATCATAGAGATAGCAAACATTATCTTTCCTATCTTGAATCTATCAGCGACGCATCCCCAAAACGGAATGAAGAAGAAAGCGATGTAAGGTTTAATCCCTGTAATTGCTCCGATTTGACGTGCAGGCAGCTCGAGTTGTTTAAAGAATAAGGCCAAATAGGGTAACAATGATCCCTGGGCAGAGAAGAAGAAGAAATAGAATCCTTTGGAAACCAAGTAAACCTTATTGACAGCGCAACAGCCTTCCTTCTTTTTCTCGCTTTCTTCAATGTCATGATGACCTTTTTGAGTTTCATCCGGAGCATTTTCTGCCATAACTGTCTTTATACCGTGTACTGTACTCTAATATAGTCTATTCGGTAATGTAGAGTAGCTTTGAACAAGGATTTTGAACTTTTTGTCGTCAAACGTGATGAATAAATTATCGAATGCACGTGCAAGTTCAAGTGTGCATTAGATGAATAGTGATTGTTTGCAGGTGGATCACTGGTTACTGCGGGTTTGAGGGAAACAAATACCTCTTTTCGAGACGCCTGTGTTTTTGAGTAAACACACAAATCTTCGTTCAATAATTAGTGTATTCAATGCATAGGTTAAAGGGTCAGATGAGGTATCTCTTCTAAGTCAAATCACTTTTCAGGTTTTTGAAGGAAGCATGGCCTTCTGTCATCCGGAAAAAGCATTTGAGCGAAGCTTTAGTTACATAATAAAAGCTGTTGTAATTACTTACATACCCGTCTCGCCTGAATGAAAAATGTTTGCTGGTAGTAATCTTAGTTGTTACTCAGCTAATCTAAGCAGAGCTAGAAAGAAATTTGAAATAAATGCTGCATAAAATCTTGAAATTTTTGAGCTGGTTTGTTTCTCTTTTGGGCAACTCTTGTAAGTCTCCTCTAACATGCGACCAAACGGTGTTCGGGAATAAATTATGCGACGAATCTTGGGAACTGGACTCTTTGGGTGCAAGTTCAGCTGGGACCGAGGGGGTCACAACTTCTTCTTTTGTCGAGCTGTATCATAAAAACGTTTATTTGATTGGTTGTCTTTTGAGTAATCAGAGTTGTAATTAAATGGTTAAGAATATATGAAAGTCATATATTTGAACTGCGGATAAAGACGTGAATGAAAGTGATCCTCGCAGTAATGTGCACTACTAAGGCAGTAGTGAAAATAAGGCCTGAAAAAAATTCAGGCCTGTACGGGATTTGAACCCATGACCTCTGCGATACCGGTGCACCGGTATCACTTTCATTCAAGAGTTGTAATTGTTTGTCTTCATAACTTCCTACATCTCTAATACATTTTGCGATATATTTCCAAATATGAAAATTTGTCTGTAAAAAATATCTGTTAAAACAAGTTCAATGCTCAATGCTTCACGGTGTTATTTTGGGGTAGAATTAACGTTGCAAGCTTTGAAGAAAAACTATTAAGGCTGCTTGTAAACTCAAGTTTGGCGTTATTTAGTCTGATAAAATGTCTTTTTCCTATTGAAACATCAATTTTCCCTACCCGTATATTTAAGCAATTTTTCCCCATTTCTAAGATACATGTTTAGTAACAATAAAAAGGATGTAAATGGATTTGGAGGGAGTTAAATACCACATAGTTTTCGATGTTTTCAGAGCGCAATGATTTACAATACCAACTTAGCGCCAAGAACTCTTCTTGAGTTCAGTTTTATTGATAGGGCGTCTGACGTTGGTTGTACAAATCAGACATTTCCCTCAGTAAATTACGCAAGCTTCTTCAATGTGGCTAGAAGCCATGCTGCTGAAATATTCCAAAAATGCAGATTATCAGGAAAGTTATAAACGTTCACAAAAAGCTCTCTTTGGAGTTCATTTTATTCCACTACAGCTATCTTTTACTGTCATCGTCACTTATTTCTGAGTATTCAGAGTCTGCACTGCAGCCTTGTTTTCCATCTCTGGACCCGCAGAAGTAGTTAATTAAAATATATGCGCCTAAGATAACTAGACATAAAACACCAAAAATGATAAATGTCGTCGGCGCACCGTAATGATGCACCATTATGCCTCCAATCACCTCTCCCGCACCGTAACCGAGGCCCCAGTGCACTCCATGCAAAATGCACTGCATTGTTGTGGCAGCGCCAGGTCCCGAGTTGATGCTGACGTAGGAGAGGCAAGCAGCCCAGACTGCTGCTGTTGTTATACCAGGAAGTAACTCAACAGCCAGGACCATCCACGGGATTGGAATGGCTGAATAATAGAACAATCTAATTGAGTAACAGATTAGTCCTAGGTATAAAACCTTCGCGTGACCAATTCGTTTGATTAGTTTGGCGGAAAGAAAATACATACTAACTTCCGCGAAACAGTTAACTGCGGAAATGATGCTAAAAAGTAGCTGACTTCCACCCAGATCCTTGAGATGCCAGAAAAGGAATGTTTTTATAAATGCCATCAAAAAGCCTAAATATAACGCTGTGAAGAGAAACATGAGATATGTTGGACTTTTCAAAGCTTGCAGCCCAACACTAAGACTTGCTCCCTTTGACTTCTTCGATTTCTCCTCAAATTTAAACTGCGTTGCCGTTATCAAGCCCAGAAACATTAAACCAGCGAAAGTATAAAAACAGGGAACGTAATCTACGATCTCGTAGTCTTTATCTTTACCACATTGGTGGGTCGTTTTAAGGGAGGCGCCGACGACGAAAGCACCGACACCCCAACCAATCGATCCCGTGAGTCTCTGCATGCCGTACTTGTAAGTTTCCGAGCCTAGAAGTTGTAGTGTGGCTGTGTCGACCAAAGCCAACGTCGGTGCAGAAATCAAAGTACCGAAAAAGGTTATCAAAAATAATGTCATAAAACACTGTGTTGTATCCAATTCTACCCTAACAGTGGTCTTTTCGTCTAAGTTGATGAAAAGTTCAAGAGACCAAGGCTTGGGGCCTTTGTAAAAGAAAGGCATATAGTGTTCTTGACCTTTCCCAATATCCACCATCTTGTCAATTCCTGGTTCGGGGAACTCCAAGTTTGGGCTATCAATAACGGGTCTGTGTATGTCAATCAGGCTAGAATATCTTGGAGCAGTCATGTTACAAAACCGTTTAACCACTACTTTGTTCTTTTTTGGTCCAGGAACCAAACTTAGAGTGAAAGTGGATGTAATTAAGGCGATGATAGAAATAACCATAACCACTTTACTCTTTTGACATTTGTCCACTATGGCGCCCCATATTGGAATAACAAGAAAGTTCACAAACGGCTTCAGGCCCATAAGGATTCCTACTTCGCTCGGTGAAAGCATCAGCTGTTTAAAATACAAAGCTAAGTACGGCAGAAGTGATCCCCAGGCAGAAAAGAAAAAGAAGTAAAACGCTTTCGGAATTAAGAGTTTCCGATTCACATTCGGGCAACATTGCTTGTCTTCTTCGTTGCGTTCATTGGTAGCAATCGCTTTCTTGTCTTCACTGGACATTTCTCCAAGTACTTAGCATCAGTGTATTATTCCCTAAATCATATGATATAAAATACTGTGTTTGAATCCGTAAATGTGGATCAAGGTTTCACGCACAGAAGGACAAAAATTAAATTCCTGTCTACGCACGTAACATTGTCAAACATGTGTTCGTTGAGTCAATTCGTCAGTTAATAGCCGTCCAGTGACAACATCTGAATTTTTGATGTTCAAGGCCGTGCAGGTGCCGTGTTGTTGAGCAACACCAATCGTTGCTCAAACCGTATTAGCCTGTGCACCCTGAAGATAAACTCCCTTACGTTATTCAATATATTCCATAATGATGTTTAAGAATGTGTGAGGAGAACACCGATAGTGAGAGATCAACGCTGAACTTGGAAATGTCAGTGTTTCCTTTTATAACGGATGGTCACTCGAAGTGGTTGCTTTGATTTTATTGATCTTTCTTGGTCATAGTAGATCTAAAATTACCCGACGCGAGCACTAAATAATTTTTATTGCCACCAAGGGGTTCATTTTTCCTTTAAAGAGTGCAGGGGTGAATTATTATTGACTTGCGTAGTTTTTTTTTCGTGATAAGTCATTTCCGACAATAACCACAGTTAAACTTGGAAAGCGAATTTTCTCGGACTATCGTGTTACCCTTCAGGTCAAAGACCTTTAAGTGGTGCCCGACGAGGAAAATTTTAACAAACTGTACTAGATTGTGGTGTAAGAAATAGGAGATTTGAGTGTTTACAACCCAACTGTCAGCTTTATAAAACTGGCTGCAGTGGTAAATTGACTGTTATGATCCTGGCGTCCTTTATATAATAGGTTGGTTCGATCCGATTTTGGACACCATGGCTCGCTTTTTAAGTGTTCTTTTTTACGCGGTTTTTGCATTTCTAGCTCCTTTATGAGTTCTGCGCCTCAACACAAACTTTCAGTTTCTCGATTTCTCTCGGCTATTAATTGCATCTACGACAAGGCCAAGACCACCTGAGTTTTCAACAGGTGGTCGCGGTCTCTTTTCCTTTTCGTCACGGTCTTAAAACCAGCGAATTTTTAATGATTGCAATACGTTTTGATGAAACGTATTGCATTGGCTTATCAACTTCTTTGAATTTTAACTCAAGTTAACTCAAGTTAACTCAAGTTACAGCTTTTTTTTGTTTTCCCAATTCAGCCATAATTAGCAATGAAAGCACTCAATCCGAACAGAATACCAGCACCTGTTATTGTGAAATTTATCACTTTAAACTGCGTAACTTGAAATTAGAGAGCTGACTACTTTGCCTAAGTACCCAGTAGAATACTTTTTTATCATTTGATTTCTCAGAGTAAAGCACTCCTTCAGCACTCAAAGTAAATGGTTTATTGTCATGATCGATCACTTTTGGAACTTCTCGCTTTGATGAAGATGTCAAATAATGATTTAAGGCACTTGACCGTGAGAGCCTGGGAAAGGTCGAATAATAATAAAGAAAAGAGTCCGGTTTCATGCATTTGAACGAGGAGCTAACTCTTAGGTACTTTCGGAGCAACTTATTTAGTACCTAAAATAAATCTCAATACAATTTCAGTGTTACATTAAGAATACACTCAAGTAAACGAGTGGATACTGACATCCATTTCAAATATGAAACAAGTTTTTACCAGATATCTTTTCTTGCATCTGGTTTCTCGGCGTATTAACCCGGGCAGGATGGTGAGGTTATGAGTCTAAGGGTGCAACAAAAAGACAGAACTTGACCGATGAGAGCGAGGAGAATAGGTTAAGGGGCAGCACGTAAGAGTTAGCTGAATAGGGGGTACCGCCAAATTTTCATAGCGGTGTAAGCTTTTCGGAAAAATTTCGTTTCATACCAAGTTGTGGTTTAGTTTGATTATTCGCTAAGTTAAATGTAAAATGTCCTTTTTCGAATGGGATGCTATAACTCAGTTAATAACATTGTAATTAACTTATCAAATTAACTACAACATTTAACTTTAAGTAAAGACTTCGAAAGTTCTCGCTTTCCAAAAAAAGTGACAAATTTGCGATAAAAAAGCTCGTTAAACTGAACTCAGTAAGTGTCCACGAAAGTAAGTGTCCAGTAAGTGTCCATGTAATTCAATGCCAATATCAAAGTCTGTGGACATGATTGGCTACATTATAAAATCACGCTTTCCGCGCGTGAAAACGAAAGAATACGCTAAGGGGGAGGAGAAGATAAGACTGTGGTTTGAAATATTACCTATTTATGCAAAAGGTAAGGAAAATTTCAGCATTGAATCCACATATTACCCTTACGCTTAAGACTTTCCGTCAAATCTAGATGAAAAGAAAAGGCGAGTATTTCACCTAATAGAAGCAGGGGGAAGTATCGAATGTATATCCCGAGCTTACCCTTTAATAAGTGTGCTATTGCTGTTGTACTTTCTCCTTTTTGCCTCTCTTTGTTACGTTTGTGGAACCTGCTAAATCATTAAAAAACTGTAAATGTTATTCTTTGACTTTCATCAATCGCTTGAACAGCATTTTTAAAACTGGCTTGACTTGAGATAATTCTTCCACAAAAACGTTAGCTAAGAACGTAAAAGCTGCGCCTATTGCAAAGACCTTAAAAGCATTTCCCGATCCTACGAAGTTGATCATCACACCTCCAAAAACTTCACCGCATCCATAGCCAAGTCCTCTGTAAAATCCACAAAGAATACCTTGATGAGTTGTGGCATTATCATTTCTCGATATTTCATTTACATATGACTGCATAGCTACCCATGCTAAGGCATTTGTTATTCCAGGCATAAACTCTAACGGAAGGATTAGCCACGGGTTTGATAAAAACGAATAACAAGAACATCGAAAAGTAAATCCTGCGGCTGCAAGGTATATAACACGGGTATGTCCCATTCGAGTAATGATTTTGTCTGATAGAAGATACAAACTTACTTCGGCGAAACAGTTTACTGCTGCAATGATGCTAAATAGCAGTTGCGTCCCCCCCAAATCTTTTAAGTGCCAGAATAAAAAGGTTTTCGTGAAGGCGTTAAGGATTCCAAAATAATATGCAGTAAATAAGAACACAATGTATTTGATATTGACGCTTTGCTTTAAATTGTTCATTAATCCTGTATCCTCGACCTTCTCATCCTCAGAGTCATATGCAAACTTAAATTTTGTGGATGTAGCGACTGCAAGAAGCATTAAAACTCCAAATGTACCAAAGCAAGGCATGTAACTGATATCAGAAGGCTTTGTAAAGGGATTTGGACAGTGATGACTCACTGATACCAAAACACCAACTAAAAATGAGGCTATTCCCCATCCAACCGATCCCCATAGGCGCTGCCGTCCATACAGGTGCACATCTGGCCTTAATGTTTGCATCGTTACTGTGTCTGCGAGCGCAAGAGACGGAGACGAGATAATGTTGCTGAACAGAATGATGATAAGTAGTATTGTAAATAGTTCCGCAGTGTTGGGTGTCTGTGGAGTTTCCATCTCTTTACTGGTATAAGTTAGAGGCCAAGGAAGGTCATCCAAAATGGAAGACACAAAAACAAAATTCCCCCAGTAACTAGAAGAGTTCCCATGCTTTGTGGCAATATAAGATGAATCGTTTCGACCCTTGATTGATCGCGATATCGTGTTTAAGGTACAGAGGCGTTCAGCTGGTGCTACTAAGGACAGCGAGAATTGAGACAAAGCAGCAACGAGCAAAGACATCAGAAGAACCAATTTCCCCATTTTAAATCGATCCACAACGGCTCCCCATAGCGGGGTACAAATAAACTCCACAAAAGGTTTCAAGCCCATTAATATACCGACTTGAGTTGGTGTAAGCTTCAATTGCTTGAAGTACAGAGCTAAATATGGCAGCAGTGATCCCAAAGAAGAAAAATAGAAGAAATAAAACAATTTGGCCGGGATGAGTTTTCTTTTGACGCTTGGACAACAATTTCCCTCGCTTTCGGCTGAACGTGGGCTTCTCTTTTTCTCTCCATTAAGCTCAGTATTTTCACCGGAGCTCAACATTTGTTTACGTTTCCGCAAAACCGTTTTGTTTCTAAAGAAAAGTTAAAACTATACGACGCAGTTGGTCTCACAAAACAACACCTTCTCTTTTGAAAGTCGCATGCGCTATCTGCGGTTCAGGTTCACTCCCTCAAACATCCTTCTCACAGAGTTATAATTGTGGACTCCGTTATTCAATGTCAGTACTTCAGTGGCTTATGGTCATAATTTTATCTCCTCCACTACTAGTTATTGGCACATTACAGTTAGCTTGTCAATGAAATTTCTGGCATATTGCACGCCTGAAGTCGTTGACCACCAGCTATAACCAGCTGCCATGTCCCTCTTAGTATTTCGATTAACACGAGAAATTTTATTTTCACGCGGTTTTTGTCTTCCTGAAAACATGATCACAATCATTTCGAACAATAGAACATCATTCTTTGTCACGTCTAATTCGTTTCTATAATCTGATTATTTTCTGTATTACACAATAATCGAAAGATCAGAATACAGAGATTTAAGAGAAGTCTTTGGAGTTCAACATAAACCGTTGTGAGTAATGCACAGAGATAATAGTGATGAAAAACCACAGTGTACAGTTTGTCACAAAAGCATAACATGCTGTAGAAAAAATAAATTTCCTGAAAACGTCACATTGTTTGATCATTATTATTCCTCAAAACCTAAAAATATTTTTCAAGATGATCAAGGGTTCACTTTCCCTCAATAGATGTTTTCAAGATAAGTACCGTCAAATCTTTTCACTAATATAGATAAAAAGGAATTAACATTTCATAATATCATCTTTCCTTTAAGGTTTTCTTCGTTCAGTTCATCAGCGTCTGAAATAGGAAGAAAGCAATAATACAAGTGTAACCATCACCACGGAAAGGTTCGATCGAAGATAAAAGGTGTCTTGCACATAGTGGCGAATACCAATCCTGCGATCAACCATAGTCACGTATATCCTGTGAATTTAGAGAATAGTTATATCATCTTTCGCGTATTTAGAATTTGGTTAGCAATATTTCGTAACTATTTCATGATTCAGGGAAATAAAGTCAAGAGAATTTTCTTAAGAATCCTGGCGTAGCTTATTTTACTAGTTATGCAACTCAATTGTTTAATCACTTAAGATATTCTAAATAAGTTCTTCAACAGCTAAGTTCAAAAGTAAAAAAACGCCCCGCCTGCAAATGCAATACCACCTGTACTAACCCTACAGTCGTGCGGCTCTTAAAGCCGTGAAACAAACCCAGACAATGATGTCTTGAAGAAATGGCCGCTGGATTATTGGTTGCTAGCCTATGTTTAGCTTTTACCTGCTGTCGGCATAAATCTGAATGACATCTGGGCCAATAGTTTGTATGGTAGAGCAACGAGAGAACAAACAGAAAAGTTTGGCGATACGAATGCGCGAAAAAAGAAGGAAGAGAGGAAAAGAAGAAATAATTCCTCTTACATTCGATAAAACTGAAAGAGTGTGTACAAGCTCTACTGAATGTCTTCAAATATGATAACCATTGTTTCATCCCTACTTTTCGGAAGAGGGTTTCCTAAAAAATCTAAAAACTGTGTTGTGTAGCTTGTGCATTTTGGCGGGCTCAGTGATGTTGGAGACAATTAAACTGGAAAATTTTCGCATGAATGTGAGATTATTAAAATCTTGTAACAGTCCGGAATGTTTCATTCCTTTTATGCCAATTCTTAGGACTCTTTCACTCATTTTGGGTGCGGCTTCCCTCGGCTCTCAACGAATGTTACCGTACTTTGCATAACTAGGTCTCTCTCCACTCTCCTTCCAGTAATGAAGATGTTCCAAATCAAATAAAAACATGTTTAACTCAGTTGATAAATACAAAAGTAGATAAAAAAATGAATAAACTTTTTGAGAAGAACAGTCTATAGATAATGCTGAAGGTTAAGTAACGTAGCTATCTCTGCTTGAACAAAATCGTCAAAGTATGGATTCAAGTTTGTAGGGGAACAGTCTATCAAATCAAATGGTCTGAAGTTCTTGTAAAAGGGGTGTTCATTTCCCCAAACTATAAATAAAAAAGTTATGATCGTTGTGCAAAAAAATGGCTTTTGTTTGATTAAATAGTACTGCTATGGATGCCAAGTTGGTTATCCACACAAATGCTGTAAGATATAAAAAATGGAATAATAATAATTGACAGTTGTCAACATGTATGATTCCTATGCAATCTTAGGTGATGTTAAAGACGATGCAAAAGTGATGACCTTAGGCATGGATTAATCATATCTTTCTTTAAAATATGTTTAAGATCTACTTTCGCTCGATGTACCAGACCTTAAAGTTGTTATCCTTGCGACTCTTCAAAAATGACCATAAGCGTATCCTTTCAAGTAGCTTATCGGGTGGCACGGTAGCATTTGTGTAAGTGCATCGTTGTCTTAATTTATGCCAAACTTTAACTAAATAATTGAAAGCCACTTCCTGAAACTCTTCACACAAACTATTACTCAAAAATATTCTTAAAAAATGCGTAGTCAATACTACCAGATGAATCTGGGAACACGTTTATTGCAATCACGAAAGCATTGACTAATTTTTAATCAAGAACCTGTTTGCTTATTTGAAGGGTTTCAAGGCATAAATAAGTTAGCTTAGTCGGTGCATGAAGTATATCAGTAAAAAATCCTAGACAACATGGTGCAACCCGTAGTTTAAGGATGATGTGGTTACCTCTAGTAACATAGGAGGGGGAAAATTATTTATGCCACGACAATATACCTAACTAAATATAAACACCAAACAGTTAATTCACTGAATTGGCAAATTCCTCTTCCAAGAAATGCGGGAATATATCATTGTCAGCAAACGGTATGGTATGGTATTAAACCTGTTCAGAAAAGGTACAGACCATTATTTTCTTCTCCTTAGACGGCCTGACCGCAATTGAAATACAACTTTAAAAGCAACGATTCTCGAGGGCGATTATCTTCTCTTCATGACTTCAGTAACGCTGAAAATGCTAACCCTAAAAATCTTGCGAGATGGCTTTTTCTTTGACCTATTATACTCATGGGAAATCGGTTTCCGAGATCAGGCCGGCTATCAAGTTTTTATTAGTGAATAAATGATCATCAAATCAATCTCCTTATAAGGAGAAAGGAACAATCGAAGTACCTGCCTTGAAGCGTTAATTTTGCTTCAGGCATAAAAAATTAACTTGACTGAACTAAACTGTTTCTGTTTCCCCAGATGATGTCACCTCATTGTAGGTAACTCAACATCCCGGTTTAAGGTATCAATGAAGGTTGTCAATCTGTTTTGCCCCGCGTGCATACTGGAAAATCCCAAAACAGTTCTGCTGAGTCAATGGAAAAATGCCCGAAGGATTCAAAAATGTCCTCTGAGAGACTTTGTGTCAATGATGAAGAAGGAGATGAGAATTCAAAACATCGCTTCGATTGTAAAATTAACCGAAAGCGACTGGTGTCCAAACTATTTTACCTGTTCTACTTCTCGGCTTTTGGATCGCTGTGGCCTTATCTATCATTGTATTTTAAACAGTTGTTCCTATCACCGCGACAGCTTGGTATTCTTGTGGCAGTTCGGTCGCTTGTTCAATTTGTTTTTACGCCTGTTTGGGGAGCCCTTGCGGATCGCTTCAATAAAAGTAAATTTGTTTTATTATTAGGATTGTCAGCTTGGCTATTGTCAACATTTTCATTGGCAATAATACCGATAGGAGAACAACCGAAAGCCTGTTATGAGATGAACTCTTTGTCTTTGTCATTATTCCAAAATGGCTCTACTACACTGACTAACTTCACCGAGGTAATATCGCGAAATCACCAATCTAACGACGAAATTGTTCATGACCACACTCGCTCTTATGAATCTATTTTTGGAACCAGCAAATATCTTCCGTGGGCCTTAAGCTTTTTCTCAAATGACTACGAGCCTGAGAAGTCGACTAAACTCAAAGAGGACACTTTTCCGAATCTACAATATTACCCATCACCTGAGAAAATATCCGACTCCTCTCGATTGTTCATTTTCATGGTTTGTGTTATAGTAATTGGACAGATTTTTGCATCACCGACGCAGTGTTTGGCAGATACAGCCACTCTGCAGATCCTCGCCGAAGATAGCCGTGAATACGGCAAGCAGGCTTTTTGGGGATCAGTTGGTTATGGTATGACAGCTTTCATCGTTGGTACATCGATAAGTGGACGGAGAACCCCTAATCCTTGTAGCAAGGAAATGGACATTAATTATATTCCGTGTTTTTATGTTTTTGGAGTTTTCATGGTGACTGCATTGATCGTAGCAAGTCGTTTTAAATTTAAGCCCGTTGATCACACACAATGCAAGGAAACAGCCATAGGAGGACTAAGAGTGCTGAAGAAATTTGATTACGCGTTTTTTCTATTCATTGTATTTTTTTGTGGCACAGCTTTTGGTTTTATACAGACGTTTCTATTTTGGCATCTTCGCGAGTTAGGGGCCCAACAAATACTGTTTGGACTAATTATTCTATCCAACAGTACTGCAGAAGTAGTAGTATATCTACTGTCAGAGCGACTGTTACGAAACATTGGACATTTCCGGGTGATGTACCTCGGACTCCTATGCTACGCTCTGCGATTCTTCTACTATTCTTATTGTAGCAGACCGTGGCTTTTTTTGCCTATCGAATTTATTCAAGGTGTAACCACTGCAGCTGTTTGGTCCTCATTTGTGTCTCATGTTGGTGCGGAGCCTGGCGTGGCAACAACGCTTCAGGGTCTCGTTAATGGATTTTACACCGGTCTTGGTTACGCTAGTGGCGGCCTCTTGGGAGGTGTGATGGTTCATGAATTTGGTACCAGCACTGCCTTTCTAGTCTTTGGAGAATTAAGCTTGATAGTCCTTTTCGTTTTCATCATAGTAAATAATGTTCGCCAAACAGAGAAGAGCAGTGATATAACTTTTAAAACCGTATCCAAAGCAGATGAATTTGAAGAGTAGTTACCCTTGGTTAAATCACAGAATAAATTTGTTATTACTAATAACTGGTGTTTCCATTGTTTGCACGCAGAAAATTTAATCTCCCGTGTGAATTTTCTTCGAACAACAATTCAAACAGATTTTCAAATAAATTCGATTAAGGTGTGCTATTTGGAACACATACAACGAATCGTTTTAAACACCAATAGTACCCGGCTATCATTTGTACACATGTGAAGTAGAACAAATTCGACGTAAGCGCAGGAGCTGATTCGAAATTTATATAAAACAATCGATTTGTAACACTACGTTAACTTTCACCAGAGCAGACCTGATGTAGAATACATAATATTATAGTTACTTGATATTTAACGGCCTTTATTTTATTCCATCTATGTGGAAATTGATATTTGCAAAAGGACGATCGTCTTAATCATTTTATGATCCGACATTTTTAAAAAATGATCACATCGGAGATTGAAGCTCGGAAATACATCAAACAAATTTCATAACCCAGAGCAGTGACAAATTGATCCTCATGCTGATTTTCCTACGGTAATACCGCACCAGCAATTGTTTTTAGTTTTCAAAAGAAGTTGTAGTGGTAAGAAAAGGAAAATGAATGGAAAAGAGTTAAGTTGTATTGGGAAAGTTCTCAAATACCTTTGACGAGACCTAAACAACTAGCTTTGCCTCTTTTATTTTGTAAATTTGAAAATCGTTCATCCCTTTATAATTTATAGAAAAGTATATTTACGTTTTCTCTTCGAAACAAGGTTTATCAATCAATTCCACTGCCGATATTGCACATAAGGATTTGAATATCAGAAGGCTAAATAAAGGGTAGATACATTTACCAATTATAGGCAATTTGTGGTATTTTTGAATTTGCCAAGTGTACAACTGTAGACATAACCAGATATGACTTTGAAATTCTGCAAATTAGAATAATTCTTATTTAATCTATTGTCCATTTATTATACTGATGGCCTGTAAATATGACTTCTGTCCTCTGCCATTTCACTTAACGTGCGCTCTAGGTTTACTTCCTTTGTTTCAGTGGATTTACAGCTGTTAAGGTGACAGAGTCGAACCTTGATACTCTTGCCGGTACAGTTCTGTCCGTGACCTGAAGGAAGATGAATCATGCACCTGCGTTTGGAATAAGTTAATCCTCCACCACAAGTTGTCGTACAATGTGACCACTTGGACCATTCTGACCATCGCTCACCATCCTCAGAGCTGTCTGTAGGCAGGATAAAAAACCACCATGATCATGGTCTCTCCTCGTAACACTTAATTCTGACTGCCATTTTAGTAATTTCAAAACGATTAAGGTTTAAGGTCTTTAGTACCGGAGGAACCGTGCTAAGAACCATTATGAATGTTTCCGAGAGCTACAGAATTACATGGATTGATAGATAACCGATGTTACGGATGAATCTGACTCGAGGAGAGTCAAACTGATTTCTCATCTATTTTTTCCAACTCGATAGGACCACAGGCTATCGTTTGTAGCCTCGATGGTCAGGCTATCCTATTACTCTCCATTTAAAATAACTAGCGGTTTAAAAGCTCAGCTGGACATTTTGTACGCACGGAAGCGATCAGACGAAACTGACAAACTGGTTGAATTTTTTCTACATTAGTGGTATTACCATTTACCCTTACGCAGAGCACTTTTTTATGAAACTCGAAGTATCATTCTTGGGTTGATCAAAACACGTCCATGTCGTTGCCCCTTTGCTGCACAGGAATTCGGACGGTCAAAGAGCTCACTTCACACTTGTGAACTATTTAACAGAAGCAGCTAATAGTCAGAGTAGCTTCGAGTGAGCGGATCACCAAAACACATTAAAGTCACGTTATTTTCAGAGTCACATCATTGATAATGCCACATTACCTCCGGCCTCGACCCGATTAACTTTTGATACGATTAGTTTTTTAGTAAAAGCAAGTTGGTCGGTAGAGGCTCAATATTTCCATAATATCTCGTAACAGTTAATGGTACTGTAACAATAGAACGAGAAATGGCGATCATTGTGCATAGTAAAGCAGATTGAAGTGGAGCAGCAGCTAATAGTCATTGATAAAAGATGAAGATAAAAAAATCTTTGGCTGCAAAGATAAAGTTAACAGTGGGTCTTAAGATTCGGTGGTCAGGTACTTGGACAGTGGGTTTGTAGAAGACCCACTGAGACCAAGTCAAGAACAAGTGCAATCTCGCTATTCTGTAGAGTTTCGAAGGAATTCTCTTTCGGATAGGTTCCTTAGTCGCACCACGTTGGTCTTTATGTTGAAAAAGTATTGCATTAACACTACATATAATGGCTTTGATCGTTATACGTTTCGAAGTAACCTAAGTGTTTTATCCGGTCCATATATGAATGGGGATGGGGGGGGGGGGAGAAGGGAGTCAATTTCAGTCGTTTTCCGGTCTTTTACTTCTGTCATTTGTGACATATATTTGTCGTGTTTGTTTGTTTGATTTTGATGATCTCCAGCTTTCGTTCCAGCTGCAGCGTTCTCCGGCTTTGGCTGAGACCGCTATCTGATAATTAACTGATACATAACCGTTATCGGCAGAAGACATAATGGTCTCCTTCGCTCAATTTTAGAGCAGGGGTGAACATAAAAATCAGTTACTGGTTCAGCTATGGAGTCGCCAAGTTACATCGTTTTTATTGAAACTGTGAAGCAAAATAACAAGGGGAGCGCCCATGAGACTAGCCCGTAAGATTCTCCCGCGAACGATACTCCTTTAGTTACGCTGCATTGATAGTATTTTTACAGACTAGACGTAACCAACGCATTTGTATAGGTAATCACATGATTTCGAGTTTAATTTGGGATAAATCAGTTTCCACTCCATTTTAGGTTTACTCTAAAGCCAGTGCAGGTTCGAGAATGCTTGTGTTGCTAATAGATTTCTTTGAAAGTTACGACAGAGTTTACAGTTTAGTCTAATAAAATTATTACAAACCTCCGTTGTTATGGTTATGTTTCGTACGCTCCTCCTCTGGTTTTTTAGCGATCTTTGCATCTTGAGCTGTCAATTTCTTCACAAGCTTCGTCAGAGTCTTTGCGGCATCGGCTAGATTTGCTGCCATTTCAGCACTTTTTAGCATACTCTTGTATCTCAGTTCTTCCTTTTTAGTATCTTCTATTGTAATCTTAGTCTCGTCGGTGTCGCTGGACTGCTGATTATGGCTCTGAATTTGGGTTGCGTTATTCTTCTTAGTTGCCACACCTTCCGAAAGTAAGCTGGACAATTTTTCACCTCCTCGAACTCTAGTTTTAAGGATCTGTTTTACCAAAGGCGCATACTTTGACGGCGTAGATGTGTGCTGCGTTTTATCGAGTAAGTTTAATCTTTTTATTGCTCTTATTCGAGAGGAAATTAGGCCAGATAGCGTAGGAATGAGAGCACCTTGCATGGCAGCATAATTATTTTGGTAATTGTTGAATTCTGGTACCATGGTCCTCACCGGTGGATCCTGTTCTTCTCTAGTGTCATCGTTTAGGTATTCTTCGTTCGATTGCTCATCATAAGTAGCTTGGCCATCATTGTCCTTGGGGGCCACGTTGTTATCGTCATTATTGTCAACATCATTGTAATCTGCCATCTCATTCCCGAACAAAGACGAGTAGGCTGTGTTGTAAGTGTTGTCTTCAGTGGGTAACCCTTGATACGGTTCATCGTTGGGATCCATTTGGTGACCATCATCTATTAGAGGGTAATTCTGGTCCTCTTGATTTTCACCATTTACGAAGACAGTATTTGGCGACTTTAAAGGACTGAGCTCATTTGTTCCGTCCAACTGCAGAATTTGTGACGGCATCATATTGTTGCGAACGTAGCTATCGGGCGGAAGGTTTGTCAGCGGAACAACAACTTGTTGCTTTTTTACTTTGTCAAAGGTTTGATAGGCTGCCGTATGCTTTTTCTTTCCTACATTGAATTTAGAAGAAATGGTTAGGAATCTACCAGATTGACATGACAAGGCAGTTCAAAGCAATAGAGGACTTTCTAATATTTACGGGTGAGACGTAATGACAGGGAAACTAGCTTAACTTAATGCTTCCGGTCAACCGAATCAATCTTTGCCGCGTAAGCCAAAACAAGAACTTTGGTGGGGTTGTGCAAGGCGAGGTCAGCAGACAAAGTAAGCACGTCCAATAATGGAAGTTAGGAAACTCATCGCGATCGCTGAAACCCTAATAACTTCGAACTTAAGCTTTGAATTCAAATAGTAAGGAAATACTTGAAATAAACAAATGACTAAATCAAATTTGACCAACTAACAAAATACTTCATAACAGTATCATTCTGTCAAAAAAAGTGAAAAGTTCTTCAGTGGGTGGAGGTTTCTCCTTTATAAACTTAAGTCATTCAAAGCATGTTCAGTACAAAGTGATGGAATGTATTGTATTAGATCGTACCTCTACTTACTAAACTTCCACACTTCAAAATGGAACACGTGAGTAAAAAGAGGAAAATTACTCTGGCATTCACCATGACCACTGTGCTTTACTTCACCTAAAAGTGTACAGAAAAAAAAGTACATTCCAGATTTAAAAAATTGCACACGGAATAACACGAAATGTGATGCCTCTATTTCAATCTCTCAAAAAGGGTATCCTCTATATTATTAACTCATTTCCAATGGGCATCTTGTTTTCTTCTTTGAAGAAAAAATTATGATTAATGATCACAGTCAAAGCAAAGGCGATGGTTGATTGAAGTATTTTTTATATTCCCAATCTGGAAAAAAGAGAAATTGCTGAATGGGACCAGCCCGCTTTAGTAAGGTTATTATTGACTGTTGTCAAAATCACGGTGAAATTTCTTATCCATATCCTAAGCTTGACGTATGTTTCCTTTATAGAATAACAAGAGAAATTATCGCGGGATGTGCAAGCTATGACTTTGAAAGTCAAAAGCAAAGCATGTAAGAAAGTTTATTTTTAAATGTCACGGCCCTAACACAGGTGGACGGAGCTTTTAAACAACTTAACAGCTCATTATCCTAACTTAGGATTCGGAAAAAATTAACCATAGAAGATGATTAATTATGCTATTATACACAGTTTGGTTGAAAACTGAAAGTTGTCCCAAATCTGAAATTTCCATAACGAACACACTTTTATATAACTTATAAACAAATTTAGCCAATTTATTAGATTGAAACTTAATCAAAACAGCGTGCCACAACCGTTACATAAGATCATAGTAAAGTTAGCATGGATCACATACTTACGCAAAAATGATATGTTTAGAAGTAGTCGTCCTTAACTAAGACGAGTGCTCGCAGCATAAGTCGATGATAGCGCTTGTTTGATCAACCCATTAGAAAGAGGCCAAATCGAACAAAGAAATTAATTATGCTTGAAGCAACCTGTTTTGTTTTTAATTGCGCAGCTTGTGTAACGGGTACCATCTATAGCAAGCCTAGATTAGTTTTGGAGACTAATACCTTGAAATGTCTAATGAGTAAACAAACATTTGCCACTCGCTCTTGTAAAAAGCAAAGTCCTATTTTACTCAGCAAAATCAGGGAATTTGGTTCGGGTTGGGAATGGGTCGTAGACACTCGTAGCTGTCCTTATGATGTCAAGCTTCCACCTTTTTATTCTAATTTTTAATTTTGCCTTTCATGCCCCGAATTTATTTTTGCAAATGATCTACTAAACACCCGAACCCAGAGATTGGAAAGGACTCATGATGACTGGAAATGAATTCCACCGAGACCAGTTCAAAACTGTTTGGCTGTGAATAAATTAACACTGCTCAGGGTCTGAATCTTAAAGGTGGCCTCATTTTGGTTTCAGACCTTTTTCTAAAAATCTCCTCAACTAGTAAACTCGTATATGTTACACTTCTGTATTTCCACTAACTTGACGTCCGTCGACGCAAGAGTGGTATTCTAAAACTTTAATCCAACAATTCATCAATTTGATGCTAACATCTAATTGTGAAAGAAATTCTTGAAAGGGAATTCTAATCGCAAGTCAATGAACATTGAGAAATAGTTACGGCAGACTAAGTTTTGAAATTGAACTCTATTGTTCAGTTGTAGTTATCAAGAACGTCTTGATTGGGAGGGTTAAGTTGTACTCAAAACAAGTCTGTTAGAGCCACACTGATATGGATTTATTGATCTTTATTATTATCAATTTATTACAAGCGATACATCAAGAAACGACAATTAGAAAAAGGAACGAACAAATGGAAAAAATATAGATGAAATGTTTCATTTCGCACAATCAACATAACGGCTAACGGTTTTTTTTTGGTTCTAAGATGTTTCCACAGTGTAATATTAAACGTAATCACATGATTACTACGATTATCGACACAGGTTTGCCTGTGAGTATACTTAGCTTATTCTCGCCCAGTAACTTAAAAATGCACCCTGTTAACTATTATGTAACATTGTTATTGCTGTTAGTAGCTGTCCCAGTTTTCCCACGGGTGGATTTTCCTTTTTTGTTCTTATAACTTAATAGTTTGCTATACGCCTTGGATTGCTTCAGCATTCTTTTCAGCGGAGTCAGGCTTATCTTGAAACGTTGAATACGAAGGCCCAATGGAATAACTTTGCGTTTCAACGGAGAGCGAAAAATTGACCGACTGAAAGGAAATACTATTGGTATTCGCTTTGTTAGTATTAATTTACGCCAAGTTTTAAGCAGCCGACGAACATCAACCTTTCTGCCCTGTCCAGGTCTCTTCGATGCAGCTGTAGTTGAAAGAAAAATAAAACCTTCGTGAATGCTAGGCTGGCATGATGATCAACTAAATCTCTCAAGGGCCACCTCGACATAATTACAAACACATTAGAATGGCGTCGGTTTTTAGCATTTTTTAACCCCTATAATTTTTTCGTTTTGTTTCTTAAAGATTAAAAAGCTCAGTGTTTACTCTTATACTCACGTATTGAACTTCTTTCGACAAACATGGTGGATGGGCCACTGTCACCACGCAAATCAACGCTGTGGTCAAATGAGTAAGGATACCAGCCCCTTAGTGGTTGAAAGCCCCGGTGTCCTCAAAAGAAAAGAATAGATTATAGATTTTTCAATGTTGAATTCGTACAAATGGCAGACTGCAGACCACGATTAATTTTAAATTTTTATGATAATTAAATTGAACGTTAGAAGGAGTTTCATTACTTAAAAGGGTAGCACAGCTGTAAGTCACCCATCTTTACTCATTTCATGTAATGTGAATTTCATTAACAATAACACTGATCTCTATACTCAACAAATGCATCAGTGACCCACTCACCAAAGCCGTTATATCCGTATCCATAACCAGCTGGAATATGTCCAAGAGGTGAACCATACCAGAGACCACGGCCAAAACGGGAATCATACCCATACCCCAAGGTATGCCTCAGAGGTTGGCGCAAAGGACTGTGCACAAACCGATGTGGGAAAGGAGGACCGTGTCTGTAGAAGAGACGGTGCCCAATGGGACCAATTGGTCCGTAATGTTGCGGTAGATGAACAGGGTAAATACCATGATATCCACGGTAAACAGGAATGTTCAGAGGATGGCGATGCATTAAGTGGTGGATGTATCCTCCAAATGCTGTGGGTACTCCGTTAGGCATCAAGGTCATATGGTGTGCTGAGGGGAGTAAGGCACCAACACTCGGTGGTGCTGCTAGAGTTACAATTTCATGTTTCTTGTTTCTAGAGGCTAGATTAGGCTTAACAGTTTTATGAGGGATATGAAGTCTCTTGGATTGATAACCATGCTTTCCTGCATACGAAAGAAACAATGAAGCATAAAAAAATACGTTTTGTACGAAGGTTTTGAGGTCACGAATTCTTTTTTACCATAGCATACTTAAATTGCAAGTAATTTGTGAAACCAAGTTATTGACAAAAACAATAATTGTAATCGATTTTGGCTTCATCTTGCCTTTTTCTTTCTGTTCTTAGTGTTTTACGAATTCTGTGAGTGTAGTATGCAATCGAAAATCCATATGTGATAGAACAAAAAAGTTTTTGTTCCCCGCATAATCCAATTTTCCATGCGAGCATGAGAGCTGACTTAGAAATTGAAGGAATATTGAACATTTCAAAACCTTAAGCCATGGAAAATGTGTATGAACACTGACACAGAAAATTAACGGACTGAAATTGTCGAAGAATACTTACTTGCTATATGCTTTGGCTCAATAGTCGTTGAAATCAGAATAATCAAAGCGAGGTAGAGTGGACAATTATTCTTCATTTTTCCTGATAAACTTGTTTTCTGATCAAATTTATTCGGAGTTTGTCTTTATATCTGCCACGCAAAATGTCATAAAAAGGACTCTTTAATAGGATGACAATACCATGCTATTGTTTTCCTTTGAGGTCCAAAATAGTCATGGTTAAACCCCAAATTAACAATAACTATTACGGGTGACAGGTAAACTTAAAGATTCCGTAAGTCAAACATGAGGACTTTTGTTTAATATCATTTTGATGTTAATCGTCATTATGGCTGGACAGTTTGTCGCTAACATAGACCAGCTCGCCATAATTTGTAACTATCATTATTAGTCGTGACCTTATTCAATTCGTGTAAGGATGAACATTTTTTTTTGTTTTGAGAAAAAGTCTTCTTGATGCAAATCAAATTAAAAGTGCTTAAGGATTGCTTTCATGCAACGAAATATTTAAGGTTTCGTAATTATTTCACGGGTTACCTCTCTTTTAACGCTTATCATGCTTCAGTATGTGCAAGCACCCTAGCACTAATATACGTAAGTTTCGATTTTTGCAAAACTTTGCTATAAGAATCATCTTAGGACTTAAGATATATGACCACATTAATTAGTAATAGTTTCGAATCACTTGGATGGCTCAATATCAACGACAAATCAGAGGTCAACGATGCTGTAATGGTCCATAAATGCCCTAACAAACTAGCTCCTAACCACCTATGTGATCAGTTACAAACTGGTCATCAGTAAGCTCCAGAAAAACACCATCTATATATATGATTTAAAAATTTCACGTGGTCGCTTGGCAACCAGACATCCCTTTTTCTGTTCACAAATGAGTAAGATACAGGAATACTTTACTGAGAAATAAGTTTATTACTTTGACCGGCTTATATTTTATTACGTCCTTGCTGCAAATGCTTAAAATTATGAAATTATAGCTACATGGAAATTTTGGTCGATTTCTGGGTCAACGGTCAAGCTTTGCTAATAAATTAGTAATGAGTTTTAATTTGTTAAACTCTTGGAAAGTTGAGGACATGAAAAATAGGGCTACCATAGCACATGCGTGTGGTCCGACATAAAGAATTTCCGACAATTATTGAAAGACATGGTCAGAATATCTATCGGAAAGCATCAGATTTCTATCCTCCTAATTGGCCAATTGCGTATCGAAATACATAAAAACCCAGCAGCGGCTAACGTCGCTGCATCTATTCGAAACCTGTGAGATTTTTACAAGATTTTCAAGATTACAAAGTCGAAGTGCTCGATTAAGTTGGATCACAAAGAATGGTCATATAGAAGTATCCAATAACTTTTTATTCTGAATGGGGCTAGGGTTCAGCTGCTGCAAATGTGTGCTACCAGTGGCATAATCATGGTTCCCAGATACAAAAGACAGTGCGAAATTAGATTGATTTTTTATTTGCGAAATGTTCATAAAATAATCGACACGTACGTAGCTTAATTATGGCAGGAAGGTTAATTAGCCCAAGGTTTACATAATGGGGAGTAATATGGTCACGAAATGGTGCATTGTTTATGATTCTTACAACTGGTCTTGTAGCTTTACCACTGAACTGAGACAATGGAGCTTCATAATTATTTCCTCATAACATGCAGCCATGTGTTGGATGAGGATATACAAGTACATTATAAACACTTACAAGAGACTGGCTTTTTACATTTCGTTTCAGTTTTTCAATTTTGTTTACACTTTTTCTGGCTAGGTTTAATTACCAATTTAATCAATATAGACGCATCATAACCACCTTCGTCAATGTAGCTTCAGTCATATCATCTGCTAATTCAACCAAGTGGTCGGTTGTAGTTTTTCCAGCTCTAAGGCCAAACTGGTTCGGTACTGGAATATTTCCAGTCGTGAAATGAAATAATAACTGATTAAGAATGCATATTTCTTAAAATTTTACTTAGAGCTGAAAGGACTGATATAGGGCTTTAGTTTTTACACAAGGAGCGAGAGCCTTGCTTGAAATAGAATTTCTAAATTGCCTAGAAATATGCTTTGCTTGTATGTATGTATCGCCACCGTGTATTCAAATGTTGCCTTTAGTTCATGTTGTGTGTGTATGCAGTTTCTATCTAAACACAATTTTTCGGTACGATACCAAAACATTATATCGTAAACTTGTTTACATTTCTCTTTTGAAAGCAGTCGTGAATACTTGTTTCTGCATTTTATTAAAACATAGCGGGAGAACATCCTGAGATTTCTCTTGTGATTCCTCTCGTCGATTTTCTGTGCAGGGAAGTGTTCTTCTAGGGACGCACTTTCTTTAGAGTTTTACTTAACAGCAGTAGAAGGCAGTAAAAAGTAATTAGAGGTCAGTGAGAAGTAGAAGGAGAAGGAGTAGCCGCTGGCCGCAGAAAGTAAGAATAAAGAAAAAAACAAGAAGAATCTCGAAGCCTATCCATAACGAGAGTAGTTCTAAAGCTAGTTTCTCCCATCATTGTGAACCAGAATATTTGGTTGAGGACTCACTGACATATAGTTTTCATGAACATGATATTTTATCTGAAGGCGCTTATTAATGTCCACGAGCTACTGCTTTTGTACTTTCTTCTTCGCAGATTTTAGTTTTATTGCTTCCATTAGTTTCTGTCGTTCAAGTTCAGTTTCCTCTCTAATCTCTTCCATTTTATGAGCGACATCCTCAATTGGGGAGCTGTGTAAATTCGCTGAATTGTCTAAAATTTGATCTTCCACGTTGGTAACATCAACGGCTGCAGGAGATAAAGAGAAAATCTGTCAAGACTCTGTCGCTTAAAATGTGCAAATCATTGAGTTTTGTTCGAGCGTTTGCTTTATCGCCTTGTATATTAGAACCAACCGGGTGAAAATAGCGCGACATACAATTTAATGAATAATGGTGCACGAAACTGATTAAAGCTTGATGTAAAATATCTGAGAGACTACGAACTCCCTGATTGGTCAAAAGCCTATCATTTATTGCACTAGTAAACCCCTAGTTGTTTTACAAACGCTGTAGACTCAATTCTCTACAGGTTTACTAGCGTAATAACTCACTTGGGATGTTGGGTGAACACTCAAAAAGTTTGTAAATCACTTCCCTCTTGCTCGTGATTTAAAAACTCTTATCACGTAAACTGTGGTGTTATATAGGCAAAGCCTTCACGATTCTCAATACAAGTTTGTTTGTCGGAGCTTCCTCGAATTATATGGCGGCTAAAACACTAAAAAATATGTATTGCTGACAGACAGCGAGGTTCAAACTTTCCTTGAAGGGGAAGAAAACCAATAGACCAGAAGAAAACCGAAAGTTACTTATTCAGTGGCTTTGGTGTTAGCACAACACAACTGGAAGATTTGCGGAAAAAATATCGTATAAATTTGTAATCATGATTCAACGCATTTTTCCATCTTAAGAGTTAGCGCTAACACACTCTTCGGTTGTTATTCGGGAATAATCGATTCATTTATTTTCATTCATCAATGAAGTCGGCTTTCCTTCTCAGTAAAGGGCTTTTGTGTTTATCTAATAAACAAAATAATACATGGTTGCTCGTAGATATGGAATTTCTCTTCTCGTGTTCAACTCGACATCTCACTCGTTCGTTGCGCTCACTCGTAAGCTATCGAGTTAAACACACGAAGAGAAATTCTATATCTACGCGCGCCCATGTATTATTCTCTATTTCTCGTGCTCTCCCAATATCCAGCGTGGATTATTATGGCGGTAAACCGATACAGTGTGCGGTCTATTACTTAGATACCCAACACATGATCGGTGGAAAAAAAAAAAACTTTCCGCGTTAATGACTCAAAATTTCGAACAGATAAAGATGATAGCCATTGCAATAAATAACTTAGTTTCTTATAGCATTCTTACGATACATTCTTGCCCCATGCCCTCCAAGAAACATTGGTCCAAGATGATTATGTCTGTACATTTCAACAGCGTGATTCATATAGAATCCTGGATACTGTGGAGGTATTATCGGTCGGGGAATCATAGTCCCAGTGACAGGCTCCTGATACATCCCGTCATTTGGATCTGCTAGGAAAACTGGTCCTGAAGCCTGCATATGAGGCCAGTGAGTATAACCATGATGAAGTCCCCAGGGTATCATGGGATAGTAGCTCTGATGAGGGTAAAATCCACGAAATCTAGCGTAGGAGCCGTAGGGAAACAAATGTGAGATGTGAGGTCCAGGAAACGACGGATAGCCGCGATGCAGAGGACTTGGTACACCGGTAGGTCCAACAAGCAACTCATTTTCTGCATTTGCAGGAGGAAGGTAAGGTCCTTCAAGTATTGATGTCGCCACGGGCGGAACAGCGACGACTTCTTGTCGTCGGTATAAACTTGGATGAGACTTTAGAAGTTGCTTGGGTCTTTTTAGTTCTCCTTGAATTTAGGTGATAATCACAGTTGGAAACGCTGGCTCAAAATTTGATCAGTTATGAGTTGTGAGTTAAAACCCCGAAACTCACGTGGTTCAGAGAAATTCTTAGCTTTCAGCAAAGCAAGATTTCTTCCTAATCAGACCACGTTTCTTGATCATTTTCCCGATGCTTACGTCAAATTGTTTGCTTAATCGAAAGAATAATGAGCAAGCTTCCAAAAGGGACCCAGTTTAAGCCCTATTATCTCCACCATACCTGTTTTTCGGAACGTGGCATAGAAACAAGCTTTGATTGTTATCGTCATTATTGAAACTGAATCTAAACTTACTCCGCAAAATACGAAGACTTATAACCGGCCATTTCTTCGGACCAGTGAAAAAATCACAATACACTGTGACAACTTTTCAAATTTCTGCCTGTTATTTAGAAATGAATCTGAACTTACCTGTTGCCGGTCGAGCAAACACCTCTTGGCCAAGAACGATAACTAGAATAAGAAGTCCACGTGCAAAAGGTAAGTACATAGCAAAACCGAAGTCAAAGATTTTGATTTTTTTTTTACTTTTCTTTCCTCGTAAAAATATTTCGACAACGGAATGTAAATTAAAGACAAACGTAAAACCACATGGAGTTTTTCAAACTTAAAAAAATATTTAGTTTGTACCCGCCACCAGTAAAGTTTGTCAAAACAAACGTAAAAAATGTCAGGTTTGTACGAATAGGACCCTTTCTTTTCAAATACAACAGATAACTCAGCCACATCGTCAGATATTCGAAAGCCAGTTTGAACTCTCTTTTCTTAATACTTCTCAGATACGATGAATCTTTAAAAAAAACTTCGACAAAAATTTTTTGCAGCAACAACGGCTATATTTTTTTTTCTATCCGTAAAACTATTCTATTCATAAAACTATTCTATCTACAAAACTATGCTTCGCCTTCTGAAATGACCTTTGAAATACCAAAGCCAATTTTCATCGCCCCGATTCGTTCAGATAAGTTCACAACTCTAAATCAAACGCAGTGCGTTTGCCCCTCTGTGTCAGTTGTGACTACAATCTTCCCAGTTTTCTAAAGAATTGGTGATCAGTTTCAGAAATATTTATAATGACGTATTTATTTTCTTTCATGTAGATAGATTTCTCAGAAAGGACAGCAACGGTTTTGCCTTCTTTTGTTTTCGTTCCTGAACTGAAATTCCTCTCCTTATCAGACTACACAGTGCCTTTTTGCAAGGTTTGGAAACGTACTTTCTTATCTCTTCTCGCTTGACTTGTTCAATCTTTTTATCACCCTTTCTTTGTTAAGGTTGTTATTACGAGGATGTTTGGTTACTTAAGAACAACTTATTAGATATGTCTTTATTGCACTGATACTGAGGCTACAAGTGAACAGGTGTAAATAGCTAAAATTCTGCTGTGGAAGGCGAAATTTAGGTAGAAGTTAATCGCAACTCTTCGTTTAAAGATTCATCTCACCGATTCTGTGGAGATATATTTTACGATTTTAGTATCACACAATTACTAGCAGATGTTCTGACGGTTTTAATCTTTGCAACTTATCCTCTTGGGTGTTCAACAGCAATCAGTGGAAAGAAAATGAAAGGATCCTTAGAGTCAAAAGTATTGTCCTTGTTCAGGATCCTGTAAGCAGGGCCGGTCAAATAAGACTTTGCATTTTCCTGCGCAGTGGTTTCGTGTGGCACTCCGCGAGCATCCTTCATGATTGGAACTGTGATTAGGCCGGGCTTGACTTTCTCTGTTGAAGAGGAGGGACAAACGATGTCAAAACTTACCCTATCGTTCATCACATGGAAGATAAAGATAATGCTCTTAATGGTTACGATGAAAACTGAACTTTTAAAATTAAAGCCAACTCATCATGATCGTCTTACAATCTAAGTTCTTTAATCACTTGTTTAGTTTAGTCGCTAATGAAGTTTGTTAGGTGTTACTGTCCCAATCAGCTGTGTTCTTAAACCATAACAGTGACAGGTTACGCTACTTGACATAACACTTAACGATGTTTCATAGGATTCTCTTTGCCAAAACTGCCCATTACTGCTGCTTCATATTGGTATTGATATCTAACTGCGTGCATTATCTCACTACATATATATTTGATAAAAGACAGTTCACAGTCTTATAGTCTTACAGCCTTACAGTTCTGTAAATCTTATCTTCATAGAAAATCGGCTGTAACGGTTATTTATCCGTGTTTAAGCGCAAATGAATTCGGTAAACCGAAACACAACTCGATGAAGGTCAAATTTAGAAACGAATAGTTGATCTTAAGTAAACTTACCGGATCGTATCCTTTTTGTCGAAGGTCTTCCATTTGCAACTTTAGACGTAAGAATTATTGAAATAAGAATTACATTGCGAAATATTTGCCATCTCATTTCCTTCAAAGCTAAGTAGACTTCTGATAAAATTACCGAACTCAGCTCTGCAGAGTGAATATAGATTCACTTCGTAAATGGAGTTCAACTAATTCTTAAAAGTTTTGTAAGGTTGATCCTGCGATTGCGTGGTGTTGCTAAGTAACACTCTTACCGGTGGTTTTCACGGTTTTATTTCAACTTTTATCCATCTAGGGCTCATGTTGACATAACTGGTGAAAGCATGGTGTAATTACTCATCATGGTAAAGAAGAGTGGTAAAAAAATATATAAGTATTTCCGCCGTGGTAACTAGAGAGGCATCCAGGATAAAAAAAGATATCAACAGGAGGTTAGTGGATCGCTGTGCAAACACTTCACCAGGACATCAATTATCAAAATGCGTCAATAACAATTGTTAAACCCTCTGGTGCTCGTTATATTTTTCCTACGATACCGACAAGGAGAATTTGTTTAACAATCAAGAGCTTCTCTAATTGGCGATCTTTGTTTTCATGAACATAATTGTTTATTCAGGGCTGATATTAGAGTCACTCTGGTGGTTAAGTGTGGAAACCAACCAATCACAGCGGAGTACAATCTTATGTTTAGGTGACACGTACCTAGTCGACTTCTCAACTTTTGGAGTAGTCCTAGGGGTCTGCATTAGCGATCTACAGCAGAAGTGACTACAACGTGAGACACACAATAGTGTAGGCTATTATTGTTTTGGCCATCTTGATCATCTTTGACAAAAACATAAACCGAGACCTAAACGCTTTAGGTGGAACCCTTCGAACTAATTGAAACATTAAGATTTATCATTCCTAGAGCAGAGCAGATCTCAAGACTTCCACACATACTGGGGTTTTACAAAATTTGTTGTAACCGGACTAGCTTAAAACGAAATAACATTAAAATGAAATAACAGAGTTGTGACATTATCTATATACAGAACGTCAATAGAAGCTGACAAAAACGAAAGTGTTATCTTTCGTCAATGTCAGGGTATCTTTGTTCCCCTTCATCTTCGTCAGCATTGTAACTCTCTTCCTGCTCACGGTCCGAATGATGTGGTGGAGGCTCATCTCGTTCATCATTGTCATAGTCGGAATTATCATCGTCATCTTCATTATCATCTTCTCCCTCATCATCCATTGGATATGGAGGTCTTGGATTCATTGATCGATAGAAAGGTAACCGCGTTTCGGTGGCGGGGAATGGTCGTGCAAAAGGTAGATATTGATTAACACGAGGAAGAAATGACGGCTTTTGAAACATAGCTGGTCCTCGATATGAAAGGGGTATAGGCCCAAGTGAAGGAGTTGTGATCACATTCTGAAGACGTTGCATAAAGTCTGTCATGTCATTGTTTTGAAAATTTTGTATTTGTGGAAATTCTTGTTGGGGCACAGGTAATCGCGCTTTCGACTGAAGTTGAGCGATGCGATTTTCCAACTGGTCTTCAAGAAGCCACCTTTGTTTCGCAAGATTTAATTCCTGCATTTGCATTCCCTCTCCTGGCAAGACTCCCTTTTCTTCCTTTACTTGTTGCATATTTCCTGTGTTAGGAATTTGTGTCATTAGATCTCTTGAGTTCAGCATTTTATTCATGCCACTGTTTTCCATCATACTCGAACTCCGCATACTATCAGTGTTATACAAATCAACATCTTTTCCAATGTCCGTGCTTTTCATTCGTGCGATGAAGTTAAGAAGATCCAAATAGTTTGCGCGCTTTGCAGAGAGATCCTCTCCTTTAGTTATGGAAGATGGGCTTCTGCTGTGATCATAACTTTCTTCTATCTCTGTCTTTAAAGTCTGGCCGAACTTTTTTCTTCTAAAAGGGTGTCTCGATGATTCGTCTTGTTTATATCTTTGTTCAGCGTTGTGGGCTGATTTAGCCTTTTTTGCAACTTCGTTCAATAACCTCAGTATTGCAGCTCGGAGTTCGACGACTGTTTTATTTTTGGAAGCTTCTGATTTACCTTCGATGCTGTATATGTCGGCTTTATCGTCCTCGCCTTCCTCTTTTGATTCTAACAACTTGAGTTGTTCACTAGTTAGTTTTCTTTTGATAGCCTGAACATCTTTCGAATGATTTTGGTACAGTTTTTTTAAAAGTTTTCGGAACTGACTACCAACTACGACTTTCCTAGCGAAGTGGACATTTTGGGGATTTCTCACTAAAACATCTTTTCTAGTTGCTGGAAGAGAAATGATCTTTGCTGCCCCGTTTAAGTCTTGTGAAGAACTTGTTGATCTTTTCTGTGTCAAAGGTTTACTGGGTGCTATTCTCCTGAAAACAAAATGATAATGGAGACTTTTGGTAATCATCATAATTGCCCTTAGCAGAGAGCTCTAACACTGAAATAAAAACCCTCAGGCTTAACTAGTGCCCCTCCCCTTGGGCAAAAATGCAAAAAAAAGAAATGAAAAAATTGAAAAAAGCAGTAGATAAACTTGAGACTGATAACGGATGCTTACCCGGCCAATGTTTTTTCCATGTTTTTGCTTTCGATTTCTGGTCTGGCTGTAACACTTCCTTTCGCTTGGAATTCCGTTTTCAAAATCATTTTCTTATTTTTCCACTCTGTTTTCATTTTTATATGTCGCCCTCCATGGATGTTCATGCATTCTGCAGAGGTGTTTATGATATGTGTTAGTCGACTTGCAGTATACCTCAATTACATGGGGCTAATCTCCTCGGTTCACGTCCTAAAGAAGATTACGAGCCGGATACAACCTAAGGTTCTACATGCATACACAAAAGATGATTACACAGTGACTTAAATTAGCAAAGCACCTGTTTTGACTTTTTAAATCAAAGGGTAAAGAAATATCTGCAGCGAGCGTGAATGAAAAGAATACTGGGCTTCAGGATACCGTTGGCTTCTCTAAAACATTTGTGTTTTAACTTCAAAACATTTCACAGCCCTCCATCTACATGAGCTTGGCTCCAAACTGCAATTGGCTCTAACACAAAGCATTTTGTCAACACCAGTGCATTCGACTCGGAGCGCTATTTAGCCAATAGGCTTTTACGCCTCCATTAAGGTAGTCCTTTTTTTTTAGGATTTATTTTGTTAAGTCAGTCGAAATCCCAAATTACAAAGACTAACGTACCTCTCAAGTCTAAAGTAC